ACACTACTGGGACAATTGGGCTCCATTCAGAAAAGAATAAAGTTGAATCCCTTACTCACAGCATACATAAATTCCAGGTGAATTAAAAACTAATAGTGAAAAAGCAAAAGTTAAAAACTTTTATAAGAAAATATATATGTGATCAAGATTTCTTCATCAAGATATAAAAAATAAGCTATAATGGGGGCTGGCCCAGTGTCGTAGTGGTTAAGTTCGCACATGCTGCTTTGGTGGCCCGGGATTCACAGGTTCAGATTCCAGGCATGGACCTACACACTGCTCATCAAGCCACACTGTGGCAGCATCCCATATACAAAATAGAGGAAGATTGGCACAGATGTTAGCTCAGGGCCAATCTTCCTCAAGTGAAAAGAGGATGATTGGCAGCAAATGTTAGCTCAGGGCCAATCTTCCTGACACACACATAAAAAAAGCTGTAAAAGAAAAGATTGATGTATTTGTCCATATAAAATTTGAAACTTCTGTACAACAGAAGGCACTACAAACAAAGTTAAAAGAATTTTCGGGGGCTGGCCCCGTGGCCGAGTGGTTAAGTTCGCGCGCTCCGCTGCAGGCGGCCCAGTGTTTCGTTGGTTCGAATCCTGGGCGCAGACATGGCACTGCTCATCAGACCACGCTGAGGCAGTGTCCCACATGCCACAACTAGAAGAACCCACAACGAAGAATACACAACTATGTACCAGGGGGCTTTGGGGAGAAAAAGGAAAAAATAAAATCTTTAAAAAAAATTAAAAAAATTAAAAAAATAAAAGAATTTTCTATTGGGGAAAGATGTTTGCAATGCTTATGTCCAAGGAAGGATTTATACCCATAATTTACAAAGAATTCCTAAAAATCAGTAAGAGAGAGATAAGCAACTTATTGGGGGGATATAAATAAACCAGTTAAGCAGCCCACATGACCAATAGGCATAAAAAGTTGCTTGACTTCACTTGTAATTGAGGAAATGCAAAGTAAAATAAACAGGAGATACCATTTCACACACATCAGACTGGCAAAAATTTTAAAATCAGACTATATCAGTTTGACAAGAATGGGGAGCATCAGAACCTTTTATACTGCAGGGAGGAGTAGAAACTTATAAAGCCTCTCTGGCGAGTGGTGTTACATTAACTCCTGGAAGGTGCTGTACCCTTTTGAGCCAGCAGTTCCACACTATGCGTATAGCCTAGAGGAAGGAGGAATTCTCTTATGTGCACAAGGAGACATGCATAAGAATGTTCATTACTGCCCTGTTTGCAATTGTGGAAAATTGTAAAGATCCTAAATATGCATCTATAGAATGAGTAAATAAATTGTGATATATTCACAAGGCCCCTAACTTGAAGAGAGGAGGAATGAAGGGCAAAGAAAGGAGAAATGCGGGCAGATAAATGGAGCCAGTAAGTTAAGGGTGGGGGCTTCAGGGTAGCAGTAAATGACAGTGGGGAGAAGGGAGGGCGGGCGCAGAGTTCTGAGGCTGTGAGGTGCAGCGCGAGGCTCCGTTCACAGGTAACTGGGAGAAGTGTGTTAGCACAGAGCCAGTCTCCTCTCCAGAGGATGGGCCTCAAGCCTTCACCTTCCCTCTCGTGAGCCAACCTTGGGCACTTAAGTAGCGCTGGATCCTCCTAAAGTATTTTACTGCTTTCCTCCTGACCTTCTGGAGCGAGTTGTGAGAATCTATCAAGTGGGTTAAGTTCCTTGGAGAGAGATCGCAATTGTTTGATCTTTATTCATTCAACAGACATTTATCAAGCACCCACTTAGGCAGGGACTGTAGCAGGCACCCCACTAATCACCCAGGACTGTGTGGTCTGGATGGGGAGACCCACTCAGCCAGCACGGGCAGCCCTGGGAGAAGAAAGAAGGCAGGCCCTGTTGTCAGGCTGCCCAGGTCCCCATCTCAGCTCTGCCCCTGGCTGTTGTGTCTCCTTGGGCCTCAGGGTCTAGTCTGTAAAAATGAAGTCGTAAGAATTCTTATCCTGTATGAGCGTGGAGAGGATTAAGGAAGAGAATGTCTAAGCCTGTAGAGCAGTGCCTGGTGTTAGTGAGGACTCGGTGATATAAGTTATCTTTTTTTAATGTTTTTTTATTACTACTACTACATAAGGGCTGAAAGAGACTTAAAGAGTGTCAAGAAATTTCTGAGGGACAAGCAATCAAGATTCAGAAGAAGAGGCTTTTTTTGAGATGGGTCTTAAAGGATTAGTAGGACTTTATCATGAAAAAAAAGTTGTGGGGTTGTGGGAGGATCCTACAGAATTCAGCCAGAAGAAAGAGCAGGCAGGAAGTCACAGATTGTGAGCGAGCAAGCGTGGCTTATTGGGGGACAGCCGCTGGCTGTGAGATCCGGAAGCTGAGGGACGGTGGGCCCTAAGGCTGGGAGGGAAGTCGTGTGGGGCCTGGGGAGAAGGACCTTGCAAGGGGGCCTTGGTCTGAATGGATGTTAGTACCAAACCCCTTTGGCTTGGACCTGCTTCCTTTCTTTCTTTTCTCCAAAATAGATTTAGAAGAACTTGTCATTTTAATCCCATTTGCCTTGCCTCGGCAGTGGGATGCTGAGTGTGCTCTCTGACCTGCCAGGGTTATTGAGCTTTTAGAGGCTGAAGAGCAGACTTATCTTGCGTCCCTGTGCTGTCAGAGCGGGGCCAGGAAGGGGGATGCACTCCATGCCTGGAGTCCAGCAGAGGAGCATGGGCCCCCCAGTTCTGTGACCGCTCAGAGGGTGTCACTGCTCGTGGAGTCCACAGAGGAACTAAGCAAGGCTGTGGGGTCACGATGCACTTCCCACCTGTCTGTCTTCTGCCACTCGCATGCTGCCTCAGGGCAGGGGCTAGAAACCATCCTGGCACACGTGGCTAATAACCAGGACATCTGTGCCAAAGGAGCAGCGTGTTTATTTCTCCGGAGCCTGTGGCGTTGGCCCGAGGCTTTGCTGAATCAGCCCAGTGCCGTCTGGCATCCCCGTTACTGCTGAGACCTGAGTCCCAAGGTCGCGAGTGTCCCCTGGATAGCTCTGACTTTTGCTTCACTGCTCTCTGAAACTTCACACAGTGAGCACCACGTACTTATTAAGTACTTGCCAGGCCCTGGTGGGGTGCAGTTGTGAATGTGACTGACACCATCCTTGTCTTTGTGGAACATATAGCCTTGTGGGAGGGACATCGAATAAACCATTGCAGGTGTTCTGGATGACGGCTAAGAAGGGGAACATCCAGGAAGTGTGGCAGTGAGGAACTGGGGGAGGGACCCAATCCTTAGCAGAGTGACGAGGCCAGGAAAGGCCTCACGGAGGAAGATGACTCTCCCTGATATCTGAGAATGCCCAGGGGTGGGGTAGGGTGGAGCCGGCTTGTGACCAGACCCTGTGGGCAGACCTGGCTGCAGTGCTTATGGTAAAGCTGACCTCTGCTTGGTAAACTGCATCTGCACTGGGAGTTCTCTGTCCAAGCCGCAGCTTTGGGCTTCCTGAGTGTGGTGTCTCCTTGCAGAGACCCTGGAAGCTCTGTCTTTGGGGTTGTCACAGAAGTTGGCTCCTGTGGGGCCTGGGGCCTGGTGGCGCCCATACTCAATTGCTTGCACCTGAATTGATCCACACCTAGGGGTGACATCTGTCAGGTGAAAGGATTAACTCTTCCAGCTCTGATATTTTGTCCACGCGCTTAAAAATATCCCTGTTAACCGAGTGGTTAAGTTTGCGCGCTCTACTTCGGCAGCCCAGGGTTTCACCAGTTCGGATCCTGGGTGCGAACACAGCACTGCTCATCAAGCCATGCTGAGGCGGCGTCCCACATGCCACAACTAGAAGGACCCACAGCTGAAATATATAACTATGTACTGGGGGGATTTGGGGAGAAAAAGCAAAAAAAAAAAAAAAAGATTGGCAACAGTTGTTAGCTCAGGTGCCAATCTTTAAAAAAAAAAAAAACCCCTTGAGAGCCTACTGTGTGGTTCATCCTGGGGACACATTGTTGAACAAAACAGATCCATTCTGTGCTCTGAAGGCACTTACAGTCCACTGGGGAGATGCTGTCAATCAAAGCATCACACAAAGAATTGTAAATGAGCACCCTGGTCACATGTACGTTGTGCTACAAGAGGGTAGTTGGGAGGTTTAATCTAGTCAGGAAGGTCAGGGAAGGCTTCCATGAAGTCATGATGGAGCTGGGATCTCATGGATGTGCAGGCATTAACAGACAAAGAAGCAGGAGGGAAGGTTCCAGAAGGAGAGAACAGCTCGGTCAGAGTCTTTCTAGGGGATAGTGCAAGGTAAAAAGAATGAGGGCTGGTAGAACTATGCCATGAGGTCCTTAGAGGCAGGGCTGAGAGTCCAATTATTTAATGACCTAGCGCAGCCCTTGGCATGAGTCAGTGAGTGCTGATGCCCAGTCATGCTGGTGACATAATTTTTGCTTCTTCATCTTAAGAGTGATGAGCAGGTTAATGCTGGGTGGGGATGTGTGTGGCAGGAGGAGGTGTTGGCTTGATTGGATTTACAATTTGAAAAGCTTATTCTGGCTGCAGGATGCTGAAATCAAGTCTGAGGGGAGTGAGTGGGAAGGGAGTTGGAGCGAAGGGTTTGGTGGAGAAGGAAGCGCGTGGTGTGGGTGGGCTTTGTAGAGCATCAGAGGGGATTTGCAGGAGGGAGGAAGGTTTGGCTTTTAACTTCAGGGGTCTCGGCTGCTCAGCTTGCTTTCCGTCCTTACCCCCTCCTCCACCATTTTTCGCTTCCATGACCTCAAACCACCCTTCCATGCTGCCAAACTACAGATTGAAGGAAGGTGGGTGTGGAGCTGTAACAGGAGAAGGAGACACAGGTTCCTAAGCACATCCCAGCCATGAGCAGAAACCTTGAGGGCGTTTGTAAAAATAAATCAAGCCCCGCAGCAGCATTTTCAGTAGCTTGGAGAACAGCTCCTGGTATAAAAGACAGACATCTTCCTTCAAATAGGATGAATGAAAATCACATTTCTCTTTTCTTCTCTTGCTCTTCCCTCCAGGCTTATATTTGGCACCCTTTACCCTGCATATTATTCCTACAAGGCTGTGAAATCAAAGGACATTAAAGAATATGTAAGTAGCACTTTGGGGGTGCTAATGGGGTGAGGCGGGGGAAGCTGGGTGTGAAGTGGAGGGAGAAGGCGGGAGCCCTCTTTGGTGTGGGCACCGGTAGCGGGAATCCCTTCTTGTCATGAGACGTGCCTGGGGTGACCCAGGAGTCCTCTCGCCTGTCTAGACCTTGTCTTTAGAACTAGTGTGCGGAAGTGAGGAAGGCCGGGGGGTACAGGGAGAGGAAGTGGCACCTGGAATCGGAGGCCCCCTAGTCTGCCACATGCCACTGTACGGCCTTGGACGAGTGGTGTCACCTTTCTGAGCCTCAGTTTCCTCGTCTGGAAAACACTGTGTAGACCGTAAAGCGCCATGACTGGGAGACAGTCTGGCCTCGGGGGCAGGAGCGCGGGTCCTCGAGTCCAGCAGACCTGGGGCAGCTTCTGGCTCTGATTCCGGTTCTGTGATTCAAGCACGCTGTGATCTAAGCCCTGTTGCTTTATGAGCTTGTAGAGGGCAGGAGCTGTTCGTCATCCCATGACTGTTTCCCACAGCACCGAGCACAGGGCTGAGCACGGGGGAAGGGACTCTGGAGTGCTTCCTGGCTGAAGGATCGCATCCCTGCTGGGGGATTTGGGCGCTGCAGTTACAGCCCTAGACATGCTGGGCACCTCTAGGCCGGAGAGCCATCAGACCACCCCCAACTGACAAAGCCCTGCGGGGTGGGTGGTGAGGGAAGAGACCCCAGTCAAAGTACAAAAGATGTGGATTTTGTCTTCAAAAGACTGAAGTCAGGCCCTGGCTCTGACGTCTGATTAATCAATGCTGGACAAGAAGCTGCACTTACAAGAGACTTGCTGCCCTGATCTGAGCGGAGGGTGGACAGCAGCAATCTGAGCCCCTGGTGTTGTGAGGAACAAAGGGTCTTTGCTTTCTCTCTTTCACTCAAAAGATGTCACTTGGCAAGTTTGGCACAGGTAAAGAAATAATTCAAAGTGGGTTCGGAAAATCATTACTTTCTTTCTCAGATTTCCCGGGATGTGTTCATGACCAAACCAGCCACCCCCAGATAAAGTCAGCCAACCAGAACTCACGCCCCACTCTCTGGTTTCCCAGAGCCGCTCACCTCAGCTTGCATTCGCTGCTAAGCAGGGGATCCAGCCCGGCGTGTTCTCCTCTGGAGACTGGGTCCCGGGTATATGTGCGAGAATCTCAGCGCGTGGACTATAAATAGCTGTTTCGATGTGAGCACAGAACCTTATGGTTCTCAATTGACTTGGCACAAGAGTAAAGCAGGAGGCAGCCTCTTCGGGGTCTCCCGTTCCCCGACCCCTTCCAGCCTAGGGCGCAGGAAGCTGTGCCAGGGAAGGAGGCAAAACTGGGGTCGCGGAGGTTCAAGGTCTGATCTTCCGCTTTGCAGGGGTAAAAACTTAATTTTGTCGGCTCATCTGGGAGAGATCAAACCCTGGTAAATTGTTTCGCTCTGACTGAACTCACCGGAGCCTGGTTTATGACTAGAATGGCAATTCATTAATTGAGAGTGAAAAGTGTAACTGACAAGCAGAGCAGCTGTTTGTGTTGGCTGGTTAGCACGTGCTTTTGCCAGTAGGGAAAGCTTAAGAGTGAAGATAGGTTTCTTGGTAAAAACGGAATTGGAAAAAAAGAGCCCAGTAGTATTAGGGAAGACCTGCTCCTTTTCCTGCACTTGCTCACACACACTCACACACCCTCTCACATATGCTGTCTCACACGCCCAGTCACACTTACTTCTTTCCCTCCTTTTGACCAATAGACCCATTTGTTCAAGAGAGAAACCTGGGAATTTCCTTCGACTCCTGCCTCTCCTTCACCACCCAACCCCATACACACCCCCAGTGAGCGACTACATCCCTTCATCTTTATCCTCCTAATAATCTTTCAAACCAGGTCTCTCCTCTGCTGCTGCTCCCTTAAATGAGGTTCTCATCATTTCTTCCTGGAATGTTGCAGTGGCCTCTTCTGTTGATTTCTTCCTGCCACTGTAATGAATTACCATGAACTGAGTGACTTAAAATGACACAAATTTACTACCTCACAGTTCTGGAGGTCAGAAGCACGATGGGTCTCACTGGACTAAAATTGAGCAGGCTGTGCTCCTTGTGGAGGCTGCAGGGGAGAACCCATTTCCTTGCCTTTTCCAGTTCCTAGAAAGCACCTGCCTTCCTCGGCTCATGCCCCTTCCTCCACCTTCAGAGCCAGCAACCTTGCATCTCTGACCCTTCTTCCGTAGTCCTGTCCCCGTCTGACCACAGCCCGGGAGGTTCTCCGCTTTTAAGGATCTGTGTGGTTACACCGGGCCCGCCTGGATAATCCAGGACAATCTTCCCATCTGAAAGTCCTTGACTACTTAATGCCACAGAGTCCCATTTCCCATATGAGGCAGCATATTCACAGGTTCTGGAGACTAGGACAAGGACATTTTTGGGGGCCATTCGGCCTGCCATACAACCTAACTGGTTCCCTTGCCTACTGTCTCTCATCTCACACTCTGTGTCCACATAACGTCTAGAAGCCTTTTTAAAATGGAAACCTATTCATTTTATTCCCTCTGGATCCTTTAATAGCTGCTTATCACCTGCAAGATCGAGTCCAGACTCCATTATACAGTGCTTGACACCCTTCCTGATCTTGCTTCTTCCTACTTTCCAGCCACTTCTCTACAAGCATTCTCTGCTCTCGATCTCGGTACCCAAAGAGCGGTCTGTGGACCAGCATTATCAGCAGCACCTGGGAGCTTGTTAGAAATGAAGACTCGCAAGCCCTACCCACACCTCCTAAATAAAAATCGGCATTTTTAACAAGATCTGCAATTTGAGAAACACTGCTCTTAACATTTAGAGCTTCTTACGTCTTTCAAAACATACTGCACTAGTCAAGGTTTTTGGATGAAAACTTAAACAGAAAGGAATTTATGGGAACTCATAGAATTAACTAGAAGGCTAGAGAAAGATAGTCAGAAATTGGGGAGGATCTGAGAAGCCTGGGTGGTAGTGACAGCCAAGCTCATGCCACAGGACAGGTCTGGTTAGGAAGCTGCTGCCGATGTTACCACCATGGACACGGGCTGCTAGCTGCCCAGGCCTTTGGAACATTCCCTGTGTCCTGGATACAGGTGTCCTGGATAGGGGCACTTGAATTTTCCAAGCCTAGATAATAGGCCTTGCCTCCCACAAAGACCCTCGTGCTGGGACACTCTCCCAAATGAGAAGGCTTTGGATGCTGGTTGTAAAAAAAAATATATATGACATAGATAAAAATAGAAAATAAAATTAAAATATAAAACAATATAAAATATTAAAATATAATATATAATACATAATATACATAAATACATAAATATAATACATATATTTATGCATGGAGATATATATATATATATATTTATATCTATAAACCTATATATCCATTACTTACTCCTTTGGCTGCTCAAGGTCCACAGATTTTATCCAGATTTTGGACTTTAAAAAACCTCCAATAAGAATTCTCTACAACCCATTTACTTGCCAAATCCAAATTTCTTCAGCTAAGTCGAGCTCCAGGTCCAGTATCTCTGGCAAGTCCTCTCCTCCTCTGGCTCTGACAGGATCCAACCTTAATATTCAACACTCTTAAAATTAAATTATGAAGTGAGCCATCACTGATATACTCTATATACTATATTAGGGGAGAAAATTACTTAAGATATTTAAATCTACACATAAGGAACCCCACTCACTATGGGTAGAAGCTACAGTCCTTAGTCATGTAAGTGATCATAAGTTCATAGCTGGTGTTTATGTCTTTTGTGAAAAGACAATTTTTTTAAAAGGGTAAAACCATGACTCTTGTACAAATATAAAATTAACATGGTCACAAATTTTACTTAACTCATTATAATGAAGAAACCAATAAGGTGCTAAAAAAACAGTTCAAGGAAACTCCAAAGAACAGACACATATAAGAAATCAGGAATGATGAAATGAATTTGTTATGAATAGCTCTTCATTTGAAATGAAGAGATATTCATCTGACTTCTTGGGAGGGTGGGGAGATCAATTGTACTTCCACTGGACAAAATTCACTTGCATTGCAATCAGTTTTCTATAACTTACAAAGTTGTAAAATAGCTCAAAGACATTGACGAACAAGACACCTGTAGAATCAAGGTAATTCAGAAGGATGCTCATCCTTCAGCACCTAGCATCCCACGGATCCCCTTTCCAAAGTCTTTCACAATTTTACCCCTCTTTCCTCTTCTCCCGTCCAGTGCATGCTCCCTTGGCCTTCAGTTAGAGCTTTAGTGAGTGGGGTTCCTTATGCAAGGGTGTGGCCCAAGTCTTCATTCCTGAGGAATCTGAGGCTTTAGTAATCTTGTCTGTAGGGTTGTAGTAGTGATCTGTTGACTTTTCTCTCTCAACAAGACAGGACTGGGAGATTGCCCCAGAGGATCCTTAACTTCCTGCTATTTCGTATAGCAGCAAACCTGGTTCCCCTTGATAATCAGGATCAGTCACCCCATCAAAGCCCATAACTCCCTTTATTATCTATTTCCTAGTGGTATGGTGGTCCCAAAATGGCCAGGTGACAGTCTAGTCTCTGCTTCTACTTCATTGGAACTATTTTGTACCCCTGATGGACCTATCTATCCCTCAGCTTCTGAAATTATTAAGAAGCAGAGCTCAGAAGTTTGGGATTGAGAAGCAAAACTGTTGTGAGTCAGTTAGACCAGTGATTCTCAAACTTTAACATGCATATGAACGAACACTGGATTTCATTAAAATGCTGATTCCGATCCATTAGGTCTGGGGTGAGGCCTGGGATTCTGCATTTCTAACAAGCTCCTAAATGATTCTGATGGTGCTGGTCAAGCACAGGCCACACATCTGTATTCTATGAGTCCATTCACATCATTCCAAAATGTGATCACACTTCAACAACAAGCTCTTGTCCCTTCAAAGTACCTCAACATCTGGCCAAATCCTTACCTGGTGACTTGTTTTAGTCAGGTATGGTGAGGCATGCAGACACAGAAATGACTGCCATGAAGGAACAAGCTTTTACTCACAGTTCCCTAGAAGTAGGAGGCACAGCGTGCCATGCAGGGCCACCTGGGGTGGCACCGGGGCTGTCAGGGGTCAGAGGGAGAGCAAGTGGGAAGCACGGGCAATAACCTTTATTGTGGTCTCTGCAGAGAAGTCAAGGTGAGGCAGAGTAAGCAGGGTTAGGATTGGCTCCTTTGAATAGTTTCAGGAGGCTCTGGAGTGTGGGGGCTGCCCCTGCTTGTCTGGTACCTGGCCCTGGGGTGATTAGAGCAGGAGAATATTGGCTCAACCTGGGAAAGCTCCAAAAGGGAGGTAGTTTGGAGTATGGGCTCTGGATTGGTCACTTTGCATATGAAAGGTCCCCTGGGGCAAGTCTTTTGCTATCTCTAAGAATTGGCTAGTCCTGGGAGGGGCAGTATCTCCCATCAGTGAGGCCCCAGATGCCAGAGCATCAAGAATACAGAAAATAAGAAAATACACAGTTGGTATACCTGATGACAGTGTAAACCCATTACCTCAGGATCTTTCTTCTTCCAGGTTAAGCGCTCTGTTCAAAGTTCTGCCTGCAGGGAAATTTCACTTCCCCACTTCCTTGGGGCCACCGCTGACTATATAGCTGTCCACTATGAGTTCGTGCCAGCAGATGGTGCAGACTTATCTATAAACCAGGCTCAGACTTTTTCTTTCTCAGTCATTTGGCAGAGGGAATTCCTGTGAGGCTGAAGCAGAGCCCAAATGCAAGAGGAAGTATGAAAGGCTCAAGAAATATTAGTGTGACTGGTGAAGGGTGAGTGTGTAGGTGGGGTGAGGCTAAAGAGCTGGCTAAGCCTGCTACCTCCACAGCCCATGGGGGAGGCTTCCAGGAGCCCTGGGGGCAGAGTGTGATGGGCCCTGGGGTCTCAGCCTACCTTTGTGGCTCATGGAAGGTCTCCAGGCTCTGCTTCCCACCCTCTTGCTGTGACCTAGGGTCACAGCTTCTCTCCTCACTCCTGGATCCTGCCCCTGTTCAGTCTAGAGGGATTCCCCAGTCCTGCTGTCAACTGTCCATTCCAGAATTGCTCCTAGTCATTACCTCTCAAATGAGCCATAGTTCCTTCTCTCTATTCTGGATGCTGCCTGCCCAGGCTCCTCCTCATCTTGCAGGGAGTTTTGGATAGAATCTCTTGAACCTGGAAAGTTCTATTTCAAACCTTGGAAAAAATAACCTTCATTTGGTTTTTCTGCAGCATGATGGGGAAAACCATTTCCTGGTAATTTATTTATGGTTTCCGTCTCTGCGTCACCAGTATTCCATTTACCTTGTTAGGCTCAGTGAGTCATTCTCAGGCCCTTCTTCCTGCACGAAAGTATTTTCAAGTGAGGAGTACAGGATGGAAACTTCTTTAGGCTAACACTTCAAGCCCCCTCTCTGCCATGGCTCCCTCATCTTTGTCCGTAGCCCCAGTCTGCCTCCTGAGATTTGGTCTTACCTTTCTGGAGGCCTTGGGTATTCTTGGATGTCCTCCTGGACCCTGAGACTGCCCTCAGCTTCATGGATCTCAACCTCTTCTCTCTAAACTGCCTCTGTCTTTAGTTTCTTGTGGTGTGAGTGGCTCCATATCCCACCACGCCCGGACTTCAACAGGCCCCTTTCCTCCTATGCTATCCATTCAGCAGGCACTCATGTGGAGCATCTGTTACCTTGCAAGCTAATTTGTCTTTTCTTCTCAAAAAGCCACCTAGACCAGTATTTCCCAGAGTATATTCCTTCTCAACCTTTTTGAAACCATCCTTTCTTTCCCATTCACAATGCCACCATTCTAATCCGGTCATTCAAAACATATTCATTGAATACCCACTGTGTACCAGGAACTGTTTTGGGTACTAGAGATAAAATGATGTGCAAGAACAACTCATCTCCACTCTCAGGGAACTTACAATCTAGTAAGAAAATCATAGAAATAAACAGGTACTTTCAAAGCAGAGTGATAAGTGTTATGAGAGGGAGCATGTATGACACTGTTGGGGGAAGAAGGGAGAGCACACTTACCCAAACTTTGGATACCTTCTGGAGGAAATGACATTTAGGCTGAGATGCGAGGGCTGAAATCTGGAGACAAAAGAAGATGCGCTGTTCAGGGAACTGAAAGAGGTTCATTATAACTGGAGTGAAAAATTCAAGAAAGGAGGAGAGCTTTTATAGAGATAATTAGGGTCCAGTTCATGCAAGAACTTGTAAGCCAATTTAAGGAACTTGGGCTTTTTCTTAACAACCATAAGCAACTATTGAAAACCTTAAGCTAGGAAGCAGAATCATCACATTTGGATTTAAGAAGATCGTTATGACTGGAATATGGAGGAAAGATTGGGAAGTACGCTCCGCAGTGGAAACCCAGTGAGAGCAGTATGGATGTAATGGGTGCAGCGCACTGAGTAAGTGGGGGTGAGGAAGTAGATGCTGACGTATAGCTGACTCACTGGAGAAGTTTGTGACCTAAGGGTTGTGTCAAGGAAGGGATTTTTGTTGTTGTTGTTGTCGTCCTTTGTTTTAATTGAAGATATTAGAGTATAGTTTGAATACTAAAAAGAAAAAGCCTGTAGAGAGGGAATTCAGGCTCCTGGCTGTGTATCTGGATACCAGTGTTGGGAACTCCTGGATCCTGGGCCTTAGCATGCCGTGGGCTTTACAACTGGACAAGACCTTGTCTGCCTCCTGCTGAGGAGCCTGTTCTGCTGATGATAAACTTGGCAGTGGATGGAAATTCCCGAGTGTTTACCAAGCTCCTCTAACTTGGCGGGACTTGAACTCCAAACCCTGTTTCTCCTACAGTGGGAAGAAGCTGAATCTCTGCTCAACTCTCTCAGCTTTGCAGCTGTCTTTTTCACTCAGCCACCTTGGAGGATTACCTGATTTTGTGCAGTTCAGGGACCAGCCAAGGGTCTGAAGGAATTTTGTGTGTGAATTTGAGGGCCTGCCTCCTTATGGTTTCCCTCTTTCTGGGGTGTTTTTCCTTGCAATTTCCAGCATCTCTAGCAGTCTCACACTTCATTCTCCAATTCCTCAGGCACATAAGACTGTGAGTGTCTTCTTGAGCTCTGTCTGCCCGATGATTTGCAGGCTGGGAGTGTCCCCAGCACATCTTGGTGTGGTTCCCTTATTTCAAGACCTGAATCCCTTCTAGTTTCTGCCAGCTTTTCATAGCTTTCTAGTACCTTCAAACAGTTGTTTTTAAATGTTTTGTTCAGAGTTTATTATTATTAGTGGCAGGAAGGTTGGTCCAATATAAACTGCTCCACCATTACCAGAAGCCAGAAGGAGCAGACTAAGGAATTTGGACTTTATTCTGCAGGCTGGAAGATTTTAAACTGGGGAGCAGTCTGATGAGTTTTTGCTTTTGGGAGATCAGGATGACGTTAGTTTTTATGATGGGTTGGTGAGGGGAGAGCCAAGAGACAGGGGAGCAGGACACTCTTAAGTAGTTCAGGAGAAAGGAGATGAAGCCCTCAACTAGGGAGAGAGGCAGTGAAAATGGAAAAGCATGGTCGCATGGGAGATATTTTTTAAAAGATCCAGTTTCTGTGAGGGGCTGTGGGACTTTCCAATGGGAAACGGTTCTTAAGTGACTAGTGAAGATTACCACCATTCCATCCCAGAGAGTCTGGCCTGGTTAAAATTCATTCCAGGGGGTCTCTGTGAAGGCCTGGAGAGTTACTCCCCTGGTTGTGTCGTGGAAAAATGACCTGACTGGATCCTGAGTCACTCCTGGTCTGCAGGTCTCCCTAGACCACCTGAGGGCTATTGAAGGTCACCCAGGGTCTACTTTGACCTTGAGCCTGGGTCAGTTGTGGAAATAGCCTGTTTACCTCTAGCCCCAAGGTTTGGGGTTTAACGGGACATGAGCTGGGGAGGGAGAGGGGGAACGGATTGCCAGTGCGGGATGCACCGCCTGGCTTGCCTCAGCATCCACTGTCTGGGCCTGTTCCTCTTGACGTTGGATAGCCCTTTCTTCTGGACCTTTCCTACCACCTGTGTTGTTTTCCCTTTCAACAGGTCAAATGGATGATGTACTGGATTATATTTGCACTTTTCACCACAGCAGAGACATTCACCGACATCTTCCTTTGTTGGTAAGTACTTCAGGAATTGGGACATTTCAAGGGAAGATGTTGTCTGGTGTCAGGGGAGAGATAGGAAAGGTCTGAAAGCAGTCTCAAACCTTACTTCAGAGCAGAGGAGCAGGTGCTGGGATGTTAAGTGGAACATTCTTAATAAATTAGTCTATAAAGTTGTTCTTCAAGTAAATATTTATTGAATGACCTTGTAAAAGCAGATATTGTTCTTATAGTATAAGGATATGATGATGGATAAGATGAACACCATTCCTCAATTAATGGAGTTGGTAAAGAAGCATTCATGTGTTTAAAAAAAAAAAAGGAAAGAAAGAGATAGTACACAAAAGTGTGAGATAAAACTGTTTCCCTCCCATGCCATTCACTCTCACCACAACTACTATTCATAGTTGTATATACTTTGAAAAAATTTTTGTGTGTGTATGTACACACATGTACACATTTTTTCTTTTGTTTTTTAGTTCATAATAGTTTACATCATTGTGAAATTTCGGTTGTACATTATTTGTTGTCCGTCACTGTATGTGTGCTCCCCTTCACCCCCTGTGCTCAGCCTCCACCTCCCTTCCCCAGAACCACTGAACTGTTCTCTTTGTCCATATGTTGTCTATATTCTGCATATAAGTGAAATCATATGGTATTTGTCTTTCTCTGTCTGGCTTATTTCGCTTAGCATACTACCCTCCAGGTCCATCCAAATGGCATGATTTTGTCTTTTTTATGGCTGAGTAGTATTCCATTGTGTATATATATATATATATACCTCATCTTCTTTATCCAATCATTGGTCAATGGGCTCTTGGATTGCTTCCATGTCTTGGCTGTTGTGAATAGTGCTGCAATGGACATGGGTGTACATATGTTACTTTGGATTGTTGATTTCATGTCGTTTGGGTTGATACCCAGTAGTGGGAAGGCTGGGTCATATGGTATTTTTATTTTTAGTTTTTTGAGGAATCTCCATACATTTTCCATAGTGGCTGCACCAGTTTGCTTCCCACCAGCACTGTATGAGGGCTCCCCTTTCTCCACACCCTCTACAACATTTGTTATTTTTAGTCTTAGTGAGTATAGCCATTTTAACAGATCTTAGTTGGTATCTTAGTGTAGTTTTGATTTGCATTTCCCTGATGATTAGTGATGTTGAAAATTTTTTTGCTTATGGCATGAGATAATGGTCTACTTTCATTCTTTTGCAAGTGGTTGTCCAAGTTTCCCAGCACCATTTATTGAAGAGACTATCTTTTCTCCATTGTGTGTTCTTGTCACCTTTGTCGAAAATTAGCTTTCCGTAGATATGTGGTTTTATTTCTGGGCTTTCATTTCTGTTTCACTGATCTGTGTGCCTGTTTTTGTACCAGTCCCATGCTGTTTTGATTACTATGGCTTTGTAATACATTTTGAAGTTAGAGATTGTGATGCCTCCAGCTTTATTCTTTTTTCTCAGGATTGCTTTAGCAATTCGGGGTCTTTGGTTGCCCCGTATGAATTTTAGGATTCTTTGTTCTATTTCCGTGAAGAATGTCATTAGGGTTCTGATTGGGATTGCATTGAATCTGTAGATTGCTTTGGATAGTATGGACATTTTAGCTATGTTTATTCTTCCAATCCATGTACATGGAATCTCTTTCCATTTCTTTGTGTCATCATCTATTTCTTTCAATAATGTCTTATAGTTTTCATTGTGTGAGTCCTTCACCACCTTGGTTAAATTTATTCCTAGATATTTTATTCTTTTTGTTGTGATTGTAAATGGAATTTTATTCTTGAGTTCTCTTTCTGTAAGCCCATTATTAGGGTATAGAAATGCAACTGATTTTTGTAAGTTGATTTTGTACCCTGCAACTTTACTGTAATTGTTAATTATTTCTAATAGTTTTCCAATGGATTCTTTAGGATTTTCTATATATAAGATCATGTCATCTGCAAACAGTGAGGGTTTCGCTTCTTCACTCCCTATCTTAAAGTCAGCTGATTAATAATCTTAATGATATTTGCAAAATCCCTTTTGCCATGTTAAGAGAACATATTTATGGGAGTAACACCAGGATGAGAAGGTCGTGGAGCCAATGTTCTACATACTACGAGAGGGCATCTGATATGTGGTGCATTTGGAGCATGTGCACAGGTTTGGGGAGAATCCTCCGATCTTCCTGACCTGTGTGGAGGCCTCATCTGGTCCCTCTCACTGGAGCTGTCCAGGTGGTTTGTGGGTGGGAAGTGAGGGTCTCTTGCCCCTCTCCTGATGCCCTGAGCTCCATTTCTGCAGGGAAGGGGTTCCTTGGGAACCTTCCCTGCCTACTTTAGCCCACAGCCTGGTCACGCCCTCTGCCTGCTTCCTCTTTTTCTGCCAACCTCCAAATATTACAGATCATGGTCTTCTTTTGGGAGAGTCTTCCCTCTCCCTCCTCCCTCTTGCCCTGGGAATGGGCAACGGACAGGCCCATCAGACAGACAGAGCCCTGTGTCCCTTCCAGGGACATGGACACCAGCTTAGCAGCTCTGAGCTCTATTTACAAGAAAAAATAGGTCCTAACATGCACCTCTGGCTTCTTAGAAGCATCTTAAACTTTTGTTCACTTCCAGGAGTGGAGACCACCCCTCATGTTTATATTCTGCCCCTCACTCTTCTCTCACCCCATTCCACCTCTTTCCACCCCTCCCCTAGGGCGGTGCCCTCTTCATAGTTTGACATGTTAAAACTTTCTATCTTAATGAAAACAGCAATTGTGTATGGCCACAGGAGAGTTGGGATGGTGGCTTGGTTCACAATTTGTGTGGATGATTTCATTTAGTTTTTTAAAAATTATAAAATACTACATGCACATGGGAAAATAAATTGAAACACACTAAAAAGTCAGTCTCTCCTCCCCTGGCCCTCAGTCTGCCTCTCCAGAGGTACCACTGTTAGAAGGTACTTGTGTTTTCTTTCAGAAATCTTCTCTACACATTAATTGCATGCATTTTTGACAATTTCATCACTAGTCCAACCCTCTTAGAAAAGGCTTACGCCTCCGGAGTGTGAAGGGGTTCTGTGAGGAGGGTGGGGAGACTACAGCTACTCCATGCAGCCCAGGGCTGTGCATATGCCTTGGGAGCTATGAAGGAAATGTGATGGGTGCATCTGGCCTTTTCTCCTCAAATACATCCTAGAGGTCAGGAGGATTAAAAGGCTTATCCTCACAGAATGAGCAGGGTCGTTCTCCACTTCTTGGGTGAAGGCTGGGATTTAGTAGGTCGGCTGGAGGCAGACTTGGTTGGTGGTGATTGTGTTGGTAGAGCCAGGAGACCCCAAGGCCTCTGGGAAACACAGGGTCTGAGTGGCTCAACCTGGAGACCCTTATGATCCCTGGCCAGGGCCTGGTCCTGGTGTGATGATTCCAGAGGCAGTTTGAGATAATTCCCAAAGTATCCTGTTAATTGTGTGTGTGTTGGGGGAAGCAGGTGTAGGAGGGTGCTACTGTGTGTGTCTGGGGGTTAAGGGAGTCGCATTTACCCACATGATTGTATATCTTGGCGCTAGTCTGCTTCTGGGAGGACAGGCTAGAAACTGATAATGTTTTTGCCTTTGGAAAAGGGACCAGGGGTCTAGGATGGGAAGGAGATTCTTCCTTCTACGCTCTTCTGGACATTCAGAATTTTTAAAACCATATGCATGCATTACCTATTTAAAAAATACATCTTTTACATAATAAACAAGAGCTGCAGTACAACAGATCCCCTTGGGATTATCTGCGTATCTTGTGTTGATGCCTGAGCTTGCCAGATTCGTTGGCTTTCCCCTTGGGGCTGGCAAGTAGTTGTTTTCAAGACAAAATTTCCTCCATTATTAATCACTGGAGTGTTCACATGTGGGGGAATCACACCTCTGTTCCATCAACCCCGTCTCTGTTCTGGCCGTGAAATATTAAACAATCTCGACATGAAACTGTCCTCTAGTTGCTGAGGGAATATTCAGGAAGAGCCTGCTAGAGGCAGAAGGCAGTGGGCCAGGAGACCTCGATGAGGAAAGGAGTGGTGAGCGCTGCTGATGTGGGGGTCTGTGTGAGAGCCGAAGGGCTCTGAGATGACTTGCTGGCAATTGCTCCTTATTTTCAGATGCCTGGGAGGAATTTACTTTTCTGAGTCCTCAGGCTCAGGTGTCAGTTTCCCTCAGAGCATCATGTTTTAAGGGCACCCAGGATTTGTTTTAATCAGGTGTGGTAAGACCCACAGACAAGGAAATGACTGTCATGAAGGAAGTAGTTCATTGTACTCACAGATCCCTGGAAACAGGAGGCACAGCTCTCCACCCAGGGCCACAAGGGGAAGCACTGAGGTCGATCAGGAGGCAGAGGGAGGAAATGTTGGCAAGAACCTTTATTCTGGTTGCCCTGGATGGAACAGGCAAGGCAGGGGAAGCAGGTTTAGGATTGGCTAGTCTGAATAATTTCAGTGGGCACCAGGGTGTCGGGGTGTCCCTAGTTGTCTGGTACCTGGCCCTCGGGTATTTAGGGCAGGCCACAGTGGCCCAGAGAGTGAGAGCTCCATAAAGGAGGCAGTTGGGGGTCTAGGCTCTGGGTTGGTTGTACATATGAAAGGCTTGCTTGCAGGCCAGTTGTTCACTGTCTTCAGGAATTGGCTAACCCTAGGAGGGGCAGTCTTTCCAGTCAGCAAGGCCCCAAGATGTCCAAGCATCAGAATACAGAAAATAGAAAGACAAGGTTAACACACATCAGGACTGCCAAATATGGTTGCACAGGTTGTTCATAGCACAAGATATCTGGCAAAAGAGGCCAGATGAAGTGCTTTTTGCAAGTCTTGTACTTGCAGGACTGCATCCAGTTGAAGGGGCTGGCTTCTTCTAACACATACAAAGGCACCCACGTGGATTAGCAGAGGCCTATTATGGCATTTGTCTCAGGTTGCTGTTCTATATTATTTGCAATTATTTGATCAATCTCTGTTTCCCTGACTGGACTGTCAGTTCCAAGGACTCCAGTATCTTGTCCGTTTCCCACTAGACAGGAAGCTCCAAGAGGGCAGGGAACGGGTCTTCTTTGCTCACCATTGTCTCCTCAGTGCTCAGCACAAGCTGGACATACAGGTGCCAGGTAAGTGTTTATGGAATGAATAAACGAATGGTAGGCAGGACTTCAAACTCCAGAATTAATATGTAGCTGCACCCCAAACTCATCTTCCTTTTGGTACCAGAAAGATCAAGATCTGTTTGCCTGCCATCGACCTCAGTAGGATGGGTAGCATCTCTTTCCTGGCAAGAGTTAGGCTCCTGTCTCTGCCTCTTAGGCTCCTGTCTCTGCCTCTTTTTGGAACAAGAAGACGGCCAAGAAGGAGAGGTTTTTATTCCCAGTCTGGAGATTCTTTTTTGTTCCCAAAGATTTTATTTTTTCTCCCCAAAGCCCCCCGGTACATAGTTGTATATTCTTCGTTGTGGGTCCTTCTAGTTGTGGCATGTGGGACGCTGCCTCAGCGTGGTTTGATGAGCCGTGCCACGTCTGCGCCCAGGATTCGAACCAACGAAACACTGGGCCGCCTGCAGAGGAGTGCACGAACTTAACCACTCGGCCACGGGGCCAGCCCCCAGTCTGGAGATTCTTTGTCAGCTCCCCCCTGTTGTAAATCCTCCAGCTGTTTATGCTATCTTGGCTGTGAGTAAAGAGTGAATGACTGGGGGCCAGCCTGGTGGTGCAGTGGTTAAGTGTGCACGTTCCCCTTTGGCAGCCCAGGGTTCACCAGTTCAGATCCCGGGTGCGGACATGGCACCGCTTGACAAGCTATGCTGTGGCAGGCGTCCCACATATAAAGTAGAGGAAGATGGGCATGGATGTTAGCTCAGGGCCAGTCTTCCTCAGCAAAAAGAGGAGGATTGGCAGCAGATGTTAGCTCAGGGCTAGTCTTCCTCAAAAAAATAAATAAATAAATAATAAAAAAGAGTGAATGACTGGGTATGCAGCAGGAGGGTGGCCTTCTGAGCCTGTGGCTGGAACCCTGGCTCCCGCCTAAATGGGCGTGGCCTGCAGGAAGTGCCAGCTGTTGCCAGGCATGTCCCTAGGATTCCTGGAGAGAACCTGGGCTCCTAGCTTGCTTGGGCAATGCAAGAAAACACGAACTGGCTTTAAAAGAGGCCTTGGTTTTGTGCTGTGCGTGTGCACGTGTGTGCACACACCTCCACAGGGGAGAAAGGAGGACTCTGGGGGCCTTGCCGCCATGCGCAGGCGGGAGAGGTGTCTGTGTCGCCGGGTTCCGTCCTTCATAGGCCCAGGGCGGTGCTGCCGAGGACCTAATGGAATGTGTATTTTCTCATTTCTCTCCAGGTTTCCATTCTATTATGAACTAAAAATAGCATTTGTAGCCTGGCTGCTGTCTCCCTACACAAAAGGCTCCAGCCTCCTATACAGGAAGTTTGTGCATCCCACGCTGTCTTCAAAAGAAAAGGTAACTTGTGCTGCTCTGCCTTTCACTCCTTCCAGCAAGTGAAAAATTTAAAAGTGAGAAAGAAAAAGGGCAGATTATTTTATTTCAAGAGACCCTCGATTGGCTCTTATTTGCCCCCAACAAGTTGTTCCTTCTATCTTTTTTTTTTTAAATCTGTTTTTCTGATATGTTTAGAAGTAGTGGTGAAATTCTCTAAAATATGTTGTTTATCATTATTTATTGTACAGCGTTTCCATAAGTTGAAACAAAAGTAGGAGAAGATTCACTCATACTTCAACCACCAAACTGAATTTCCTTCTTTTTATCATGCTCCACCCCTGTCCTTTTGCAGATGTGATTTTTACATCAACTTAAGAAGATACCTTTAAAACTTAACATAGGTAGGAAAGCTGAAGCATAGAGAGATTAAATGACTTGAACTTGTACCCAGACAGCTGCTAACAGAGACGGGAATATAATAAATTTTTAGTACATTATTTTTTATTAACTTTATTGTTCAATGATAAAACACATGCTACCGATGAAATGCCTGCTATTGTGGTAATTATCCGTCAATAAGTGTTAATGAGAATAGTCATAATGATTTGTTTCATGTCATTTACTATTTGTGTTTGCTTTGCTTCAAAGTAGTTCACAAAATCCTTGAAACGAAAATGTAGATTTGTCTAATGTCAGAGTTGGAAGAAATCAGACAAGGAGAAATTGGATGAAAAGACCAACAATAACTAAGGATTCAAGTAGGAATTAAAACTTGTATCTCTTGAGAAGAAATTTAATTCTAAGTTACCTATAAGATAATGTCAGGGCTGGCCCCGTGGCCGAGTGGTTAGGTTCACGCACTCTGCTTCGGAGGCCCGGGGTTTTGCCGGTTCAGATCCTGGGCACTGACCTAGCACTGCTCATCAAGCTATGCTGAGGTGGTGTCCCACATAGCACAACCAGAGGGACCTACAACTAGAATATACAACTATGTTCTGGGGGGCTTTGGGGAGAAGAAGAAGAAGAAAAAAAGATTGGCAACAGATGTTAGCTCAGGTGCCAATCTTTAAAAAAAAAAGATAATGTCACTGTCTATAAAATTATTTTTTGTTTAATGTCTCCACTGAACCTAATTTACCGGATTTGCTTTCAATGGATTATTCCATTGTTTTGTTAAGGTTTCATACAGTAATAAATGCAAAGTCCATTACAATAAACGTTACCTCTGTTTTACTAATTTGTTTGATAACTTCTTTTTTTATGCATACCAGTCTGTGTAACCTTTCTTTAAAATACAATTGTAAGTGCACCAAAAAGATCCAAAACCCAAAAATAACAAGAGAAAAACCTTAACATAGATACAATAGTTGTATTCTGAGATCTTAAACTTGTTTGTACATAATCCATTTCTACTTGGTCTTCATAATGACCCACAAACAATGCCAAGTGTGAAGTTTAATTCCCTCTTTTGACTTATTATCATAGAATAAATTCCCAAGCGTGGGATTACATATCGGGTCCAACACTGTATAATTTGCTAATTACATTATATGACTTTCTAGACTGATTGTGTGATAGGTTTCTTTAACATAAAATAGGAAAAATAGAAGTGGCTTTGTATCGTAATTCTGTTGTTTCTGAAAGTTGAATACTTTGGACTTCTAGGGAAGGCTTTGGGGGAGCATATCGATTGGATGCGCTGACTACCGTAGACATTTCTGAGAATCCCTTTAGGAACCAGGACACAGGACTTCCTGTCTCTGAAGGGTGGATTTTGAGGAATGGCAATCCCTCTCTTGACCTGGTTATCAGATCCCTACTGTACCTACGTCCCTTTGCACAAACGCCAGGCTTTCCCTGAAGCCACCACTGTAATTCCCATTGAAGTGAAGGTGACTGACTCTTAGGAGCTGCCAAGAATCGCTTCCAGAGTCAGTCACAGGTTGCAGTGGAAACTGATGGTCATGACTTCCCGGGGAAGCCTACACAAGGAGTGAGCAGGGGGTTTTCTGCCCCACCGGCCTACCTCAGAGCAGAGGAAATGCACTGATGGGCTGAACTTCAAATGAGACTGAGGCCAAATGTCATTGTCTTACTGAACTCTGAAAGGAGCTACTGTAATTGCAAGACAGCTGTTTTCTCAAAATAATGACACCAAAACAACCCAAAACAAACAAACAAGAAGAATAAGCCAGAGTTGATCCAAATTTGAACTAAACCAATATTTTACTTGGTTTTGGTCCCTGAAGGAGACCTCAATCCTCTTTCCCACCCCACCTTTACCTTGTGGTATGATGCTGGATGACTTCTAATTTCTGCTTTTATTTCGTTATCTGTAAAATAATCTCCCTGATCAACAAAAATAAAATCTATCTCTTTCTGTATCCTAGTCCCTCCCATTGATACACACATAGGGAGCTAGTGGGGTATAATATGAAATAGCTATAGAATAATAGAATTTTAGAGCTGCCAGGGCCCGACCCCCTTGAGATAAGGAAGATGACAATGGTTCTCACTTACTGAAACCAGCCCCAGTGTCAGATGCTTTCCTGGAATGATCTCATGTCGTCCTCAGTGTGCTCTATGAGTTAGGTGCTGTCACTGTCCTCATTTTTCAGAAGACGAAACTGTGTGTAGAGGCTGACAGCTGGGTGGTGGCAGCTGTGAGGGTCGATGTTCAATTCTTGGCATTCTCTCCACCCCAGGTTCCTTCAGTGTCTTTTAGAGTGGCTATGTGTAGAAGGTAGGGTTGCCCACATCCAGGACCCCCTGGAGGCCCCCTGGAAGGTTAGAGGACTTTAGGAGCAATCCTAGGGTGTCACTTGAAGAAAACTTTCCTGGGTCAGTAAGTTGTTGTTTTTTCAAAATCCCTTTTTCCACTCTCCCATATCTCTTTGGTCTCTCTCCCTCCTCCCGTCTATACACACACCCTCTAATGCCTATAACTTTCCAGTCCCAGGGAGAATCAGTGGTTGGGCAAGCTGCCAAGACCAGTGCTCGGGAGAAGGGAGAAAGAACAGAGATTTATTTGAGCCTTCCAACTCAGTATGCCTCTGTTTTTCCTTTGGCAGGAAATCGATGATTGCCTGGTCCAAGCGAAAGACCGAAGTTACGATGCCCTTGTGCACTATGGGAAGCGGGGCTTGAACGTGGCGGCCACCGCAGCAGTGATGGCTGCTTCCAAGGTACTGTGCCCGGCCTTGAGCACCCCGGCTGTGTGAGCATCTCGGTCCCTCCAGCCTGCCCTGCTCGTCATCCATGCAACTCACACAGGATGGGCTAAGGACCAATCAGTGGATCCTCATTGTTTTTGGGGTTCCTTTGAAAATCTGATGGAAAAATTGGTGACTCTTGCCCCCATAAAATTGCATGCATGCATGCGCACACATACACACAAACACAAAAATGATATATGCAATATCAAGAGGTTCCCAGAGCCCCTGAAGCTCATCTCTGGGTCCCAGGTAAAGAACCTCTGAAGTACTTGGAACTTAAGCCCAGGAGAAAGAGAATAGGAAAAGTGAGGGAGTGAGCTCTTCTCTGCAGTTTCCCAGGATGCACTGGGAATCACCTAAACTCACAGTAGACAGGTGGAGAGGCTACCTGAGTGAATGGGTGGCCTCTACACTCATGTGGCCCAAAAGATCCAGGGGAGGGAACCCAGGGTCCCAGAGTAAGTTGAGTGGTTCCAACATGGAGGACGATGATGAGTGTAGCAGTAGCAGCTAGTGGTGGAGGAGGTTTGAAATAAACACTGGTTTGTGGGATATTGTGACACAAGCATGACTTCCTTCTCGTTCCCATCCAGCCCTGTTCACAAGTCCTCTGCGTTCCTTCCCGGCTTCTTCTCACATCCTGTTCTCCTTGTCGTTGTGTCAGTTTCTCGTTGTGTGCTCAGCCCTGAAAAATTAAATTGGGAGATGTTTACTCTCAGAGTAAATTCAGCAGTTGGCGCTCGTGTTTTCTGGTGTCAATCCCGTCCCCTAAATCCAAAGGTGGGGCAGGGTCTACGATCAGCTGGGGGTGGAGGAGAGAGAGTTATGCTAATGGTTGGGAAGACACATTGGTTGGGAGGTGAGTTGGATTAGCAAAGGGAAGCTATAGGTCCTGGATGGTGATGGGAGGGTTTTAGAGAAGGGGCCAGAGCTGTGAAAGGGATTGCAAGTAGATGATTAATGCACATCTTGGTGCCCATGGACTGTGCGTGGATGGTGCGATGGAGGTTTGCTGACAGCCAGCCAGGATTTTCCCTGCGCCGAAACAGAGAGAAGCACATTAGGAGCATTTCTGAGATAAAGACTTAGCACCTGGGACTGAGTGTTTGTTTGAAAAGCAGGTGAAGTGAAGGAGTTCTGCAGACAAAGGCTGGGAAAGGGGCCCGCCCGGTGTGTGCACGTTCCACTTCAGTGGCCCGGGGTTTCCCGGTTCGGATCCTGGGTGCAGACATGGCACTGCTTGGCAAGCCATGCTGTGGCAGGTGTCCCACATATAAAGTAGAGGAAGATGGACATGGATGTTAGCTCAGGGCCAGTCTTCCTCAGCAAAAAGAGGATTGGCAGCAGATGTTAGCTCAGGGCTAATCTTCCTCAAAAAAAAAAAAAAAAAAAAAAGGCTGTTAGAGACCGGAGAACCAAAACGGAATGATTCTTATTTCAGAGAAGGACCAGCTCCTTCTATAACACAGAACTGTAGTGAAGTGTCGCCCTGCTCCATACAGCTGGTGCCTGGAGGGGCCCTGCCCACCTTAGGACAATAGTTGCTGGCAAGGTGATGGATTCCAGTGAGTATCTTTGGAGGGGAAATTCCACTTTGGTGTCCCAAGGAACTGTATCAGGATTTACAATGACCAGTGAATTCCAAGATCCTACTGTTGGAGTTGCAACCGTTTTATGCTTTTATTAAGTTGAAAGAAAAGAGAACTCAGAACTGCTAAATTCTGAATTCAGCAGACCAACTTTGCAACATAAAGCTACAGAGAACCTCTCTCTGCCCGTTTCTCCATCTCATCTCCTCTGCTTCTGAAGCCTGAAGGAAAATGGGTTACTGCTCCTTCCTCAGTTCAGTCATGGAGCGTAACTGTGGTACTTTTATCAGGGTAGCTCAACACGGGTCACCCGGCCACTCAGCTGCAGGTGTGTACATTTTATTCTGACAGTAATACCGTAGGGCCATCCTTTTCCAGGTCTGCCTCGAGCTGAAGCCTCCAGAACCTTGATACCATCTTGGTCAGCCACTGCCAGCCCCTCAGACCACTGGGGAAATTTCCCCTGAGCCCAAACCTCCACCCGGGCACCTTACAACAGCTAAACCTGAAGGAAGCTCCAGACAGTCTGAAACTTGCCTCATGAAATAACTGCTCATTAATTCTTTCTAGTTGGACTAAAGTAGTGAGGGATGCCGCCGGCTTCCTGCTGAATTTGGTTTCAGATGAGAAAATTTGCTGCCTTTTGGGGGCTTTGCTCTTCCTCTCTAAATACAAATATCTTGAGAGAGAAACATATCTTCTTTTCCAAAAATAATGCCCTCTATTTTTGAAGCAGTTGTGTACTTAAAAGAAAAAAAAAAGTAAAATCCAGTCTGGCTGAGGAGTCAATCAGTGGTTTCCATAGCAACAATGGATCATGCCAGACAGGGGTCAAAGGAGAATGACTCCACCAGTGGATCCATTTCTGGCTCTTGTGTCCAAACCACCTGGAAAGCTTTGTTCTTTGTTTTTTAATAGATTCTCAGATGTGCTGAACCAGAATCTCAGGCAGTGGGCCCATGAATCTCTATTTTTAACAAGTTCCCCTGATGTTTTTTAAACAGCCAGCTCTGTGTGGGTCACTGCCTGAGACCCCGTTCAGAACTATAAGCGCACAGGTGATTGGAGTTTAAACAGTTCCCTGCTTTAGCATTCCTGGGGTGCAGCTTTCACTCCTTAGAAGCATTAACCTTGAGAATGAGAAACTGGGGTGTGTTTGAGTATATGAATGTTTAATTTCCTCAAAACTTAATGCCAGTTGGGAAATACTATGGTGAGAATACATGCTCTTGGACATCTGTTGTGCTCCCAAGAGCCCAGCTCAGTGCGCTGCACCCGCCTGAGCCCTGAACAGCAGCCTTTTCGGTTACCCTGGGGGAACCCTCCTCCACCCGTCTTCTGCTCTGTTTTCCATCCTTTGATGGCTCCCAAGTACGGAGCTTAAAAGATGGTTTGGCTACACTTTTTTTTCAATGACGGTATAATTGACAAATAACATTATGTTAGTTTCAGGTGTCCAACATAACGTAGCTACACTTTTCATTAATCCTTTTTTTTGTTTCATAATATCGAGCCCTGAGCCCTTTCCCTAAAAAAAAAAAACAATGAATGTTTTCAGGGTTTTTGCATCATCATGAAGTGTGAAGAAACTTTGTAAACTGTATCACTGTACAGATATAAGCTGTTGTTAATGTTAGTATTTTATCTGAGAACTGGAAAAGCTAAAACAAAGAAATGACACATGGGAGATTTCTCCCAGGCTTCCCCAAGGTCTAATCCGTCTCCTCCAGACATGTGGATGCTTCTTTTCTATGACAGCTGCTTTGTGTCCTTGCTGAGAACACACTTCTCTAACACCTTCTGTCTAAGCGTCCCTAGGTTCTTGGCTGGCTCCGCGCCTGGATCTTAACTGTTTCCCAGCCGGTAATTCCACCTTGAGGGAAAATTGAGCCCCAGGTCTTTTTAAGACTAAAACTGGAAATCTCTTTGCCTTTTAAAAATAATGCTCTAGAAATTCATTTGTTAAGCAAAACACATTGTCACATAGGAGAAACCATAGTGAAAAAAACCAATCGATCAAAAGTTTTAAAACCGCGAGGTATCCAGGCTGCCTTATTCCTCTTGAAACTTGAACCACATATTAGATCTCTTCCACCTGCCCAGTTCTCAAACCTGGTAAACCAGCCTTGCTTTTTACTCGGTCTCATCGCTTGAAAAAATAATGCTGTTTGCCTTCCTCTGGAGATCCTCTCCCCAGAACAGTTCCAGTGGTACCAATGCTGTGATTAAAGTCGTCTGTGGAAGACAGCTGCTCCGAGGGAAGCTGGCCTTTGGTGAATTAGGGGTTCTTCTTCCCCAGATTGTGTGTGTTTTTTTCTGCTTAGAATCTAATGTTTCCTATTAGACTGTCAGCTTCTGGAGATGAGGGACTTTGGATTCTTTTCCTTTGTTTCTTGCTTAGACAAAAAAAAAAAAAAACCAAACCGGCTGGCGCCGTGGCCAAGTGGTTAAGTTCGCACACTCTGCTTTGGCGGCCCAGGGTCTCGCCACTTTGGATCCTGGGTGTGGACCTAGCACTGCTCATCAGGCCACGCTGAGGTGGCGTCCCACACAGCACAACCAGAAGGACCTACAACTAGAATATACAAGAATGTACTGGGGGCTTTGGGGAGAAGAAAAAAGAAAGATTGGCAACAGATGTTAGCTAAGGTGCCAATCTTTAAAAAAAAAAAGAAAAAAGCCAAACAGCTACTACTTGTTTACTGTTCTGTACTCATAGCCACTCATTAAACCTCATTGATGGATCTGAAGAAGAAACCTTTTGGTTCCTCCAATCCTGCTCTGTCCAATATGGTAGCCAGTTGCCCCATGTGGCTATTTAAATTTAAATTAATTAAAATTAAGTAAATTTAAAATTCAATTTCTCACGTGTACTAACCCCATTTCAGGTCCTCAGCAGCCACCATGGCTGCTGGCTAGCACAGACGTAGAACATTTCCATCATTGCTGAAAGTTCTATTGGGCAGCACTGCCCCAAGCCCTCTGTTAAACCTCTTGGGTTCTCCTTTGTCTTATTTTCACCCCTTCACCGGCAGTGCTCTACTTTGACAAGGACCCTGCCCTTCCCCACTTGGCACTTTGGGGCCTCTGGATATGAGGTTCTCTGGGAAAATAAGGAGATGGAAACTCAGCCTATAGCATCCCCCATGGTATACCTTCCGTTTCTTCATCCTCTCCCCTGGTCCAGCCTTGCTTTCATACCATGACCTCCACTTTCCCTACCTCCTGGCCAAAACTCAGGCACTTTGCCTGAAATTATGGTCAGCGGCCACCAGGATATAGCCAAGCGTTGGTTATAGCATCTGAACAGCTAGGCACAGTCCACAGAGAGAGAAACTGTAGTGTTTTCCTACTCATTTTTTAAAATTCTCACTCAATTTTGCCTTAAAATTAAAACAAACTCTACAAAACAGTTCAGCATAAATAGTTATTAAAAAAACAGTCCTCTCCCTCTTCTTCTTATCTTTTATCCATCACTGCTTTACCTAAACCTCTTGCTTGAATAAAATACTGCCTGCAAACCACCATGAAACTTTATTTTTGGAACCAGAAGCTCATTCCAAGAAATTCATAAGCCTAGTGATTTGGGGCTGCTGACCAGACTGAAATCATTTGCCCTGACCTTTGTTTTCTTTCTAGCAAAAAACTACTTGTTTAAAATTAATCAGAGGGCAGGTCTTGATTTTCTTTTTATAAAACCTCCCTGTATCAGCTCATGCTGAGAGGGTATTTCTAAGGAAGGAGAGAAGACTGCTGTCCCCTCCAGGTCCCTGCGTCTCGTTTTTCTGGCGTCACACCCTTGTGTCTGTTGAATCCAAGTGGCCAAGGGCTCCAAGAAGCCTCATGCTGTCTCTACACCCGTCCGAGGAACCTTCCCAGCCACTGTGCTAGCTTACACCAAGTTAGCCTTCTTTCTTCGATTATAGCCAAAGACTGTGTGACATAAAATTAATATTTAGAATTCACCTTGGCAACCAGTTTTAAACATCAAGATTATCTAAACTGTTGTGGACAACCTGCTGGAAAAGTTTGGAAGTATGCCCTACCCTCTCGTCTCCCGAACAAGCAGCTTGCACCTGAGCTTAGCTTTCTAAAACGCGTTGAAGCAGAGCCAAGCAAGACTTTTGACCAGTGTTCCACCATACTCGCCTTTGTCATTCACCCCCCGTCATTCTGGATTCCCATCCTCCCAGTATTTCTTCTTGGAATGTTGCCTCACCTCACTCACTCCATAGATGGTGAGGTGGATTAAAACAAACAAAAGGCCCAGCGTCACAAGTCCGCTGAAGAAGAAGGGCCAGGGACTCTTGCGGAGTTGCTGGTCTAATGTGACTTGCCCAGTTTCTGTTCCAAGTTTACCTGTGGAGATTACATGTAGCCAGATAAGCCAGGGTCCACGTGGAAAGAGAGAAGGCCGCCCGCCTCTCTGACCGCTAAGAAGAGCCTGGTTGACCTGAGAGGTCTGAGAAAGCATTTTTAGGCTCACACATGAGTGGGAAGAGCTGTTTCTTGGCATGATGCCTTCCTGGTCACCTCTTCCTTCCTGACTCCTCTCTTGCTCACTCCCTCCTTCCTCCTGTCACTCCCTCAGTATTGGGTGAGATTTCTCCATGGGCCCTGCCCCTTACTCTCCTCTGCCTCCCAGAACCATCTCATCCTTTCCCTCACCTCCGGCTGTCACCTGATGCACTTGGTTGCCAGATCGGCTTCCGTGCTCACCTCCGGCTGTCACATGATGCACTTGGTTCCCAGATCGGCTTCCGTGGGACTCAAGTCCAGCGTTTCTGATTCTCTGCTGAACTTATCCTCCCTGTCTCTCCTTGGTACCTTTAGTCAACATTTGCCTAGCTCCAAATCTGCCACTCTGTGTCCCATCTTTCTGATGATAATGAAATCACCATCCTTTCAGGCCCCCAGGCTCCCATTCTCAGTCATCTTCATGCTCCTCCTTCCTCCCACTTATCTTCAAGTCCTGCCTATTTGACATCCTTTCCTTGCTTCCAGACCTTCTTCCCAGCCTCCCCCCCTCTAGCTTGGACTATTCCAGTAGCTACCTAAGTAGTCACTGCTACTCTCCCTTCCTGTTTGAGGCTGGTGCAGTCCAAACCTGATCTTAGCCTTCTTGTGTTGTCTGTCCTTACCTTTTTGGCTCTTATTGTGCTGCACTCACAGCACCACCTTCTGTGCTGTTCTAGAAATCGCAACTCTGTGCCCTGTTTCTAGAATTTTCTCTTTCCTGCCTCTGCTTATTAGTCCTTCATCTGCCCCTGTTTCCTGTTTGAAATCCTGTCCACCCTTCAAGGTCAAATGCTGCTGCCTCCACAGAACCTTCCTGGATTCCAGGTGGAACTGGTCTCTTGCTCCTTGATCCCCCCGTGGCACTCTTGTAGTCATTTACATTCATGTCTTATCTGCATGCCCTGTAGGTGCTCAGTAAATGTTAAAGGAATGAAGGACGGTTGTGCATATCTTTAGCTATCTCCGCCAGTAGAGCCGTGGGTAGCATCAAGTGTGGGCCTTGGAGATAAGCAGACTCGGGGTAAAAGTCTCAGCTCCCTCACTTACTGTTGCACCTCTGTGAGCCTCAGCTTCTTCACCTGCAAAGTGGGCGTGATAATGGTGCCTACTGCAAAGTAGTTTAAGACCATGTACGTAAAGACGTCACAGAGTGCAGAGCTCACACTAAATTCTTAATAAAGGTTACCATTGTTCCCTTCTCCTCGTATGGCAGCTTGGTCTCTGAAGTTGATCATGATTGTCTCTTCACTGTTGAACCAAATAAAAGAAACAAGTCAGGGGCCATCCCCGTGGCCGAGTGCTTAAGTTCACGTGCTCCACTTCGGCAGCCCAGGGTTTCTCTGGTTCGGATCCCAGATGTGGACCTAGATATCGCTCATCAGGCCACATAGCACAGCCAGAAGGACCTACAATTAGAATATACAACTGTGTGCTGGGGGACTTTAGGACAAAGGGGAAAAAAAGAAGATTGGCAACAGATGTTAGCTCAGGTGCCAATCTTAAAAAAAGAAACAAATCAGTTGCTGGCATTGGGAAGTTATTTACAATTCAGACTCTTCTGGAGAGGAGGCTGTGTTTCCCACTGGTGTGGATCTAGGCTCTCTTCCTGTCTTGGCTCTGTGGTGTGGTGGTATGAGTGTGGTATTGGGTGTTGTCCCGGTCTGCCTTGCCTGTGCTCTGTCTCTCTGGGCAAGCCACTCACCTGCCCTGGGCCTCGGGTCCCTCATGGCTCTGGGCCTCTTCAGCCTTGAGGTGAGTGGGTCCCTGAGGGACAGCTTACAACACGTGAGCACCTCCCCACCAAGAGAGGGGGAACCTCAGACCGTGGGTTGCTAGAGCAGGAGGGAACCTAAGACATCATCTCTGTAACTGCTTACTTCACAGGGGAGGACATTGAGACCTGCATGTTGAGTGGCTTGTCCAAGGTCACACAGCTGTTAGTTGCTGAGCTGGAATCAGAGTGAGAGGGTCTAGCTCCCAGTCCACTGTTTCTTGCATCATTCCGTGCACCCCATGGCTCCCTCCCTGATCCCTGCACCCTGATTGACACTTCCTGACCCTTTTCTATTTGGGTTACACCACCAGACCCTGAGGACCATGGCTGAATACCTGAGAGATGAGCGTCTGCCATAGAGAATTTCAGAGTCGCTTGCAGCCATGGATACTTTTAAGGTTGTCTGACTGCTCTTCTGACCATTTTATATCAAACACCTATAGGAGTTAAGAAAGTGCATTAATATGCAAAAGGCAGCCAGCAAATCCTGGCCATGGCAGGCAAGGCTGGGGCAACACTGAAATGCAGTCGGTGGTACATACTAGGTGAAGGAACTTAGATCACAAATATGTGTCATCCTAAGATATAGTTCCTTTAAAGCTGTATCGCTTGTGATAACATGGGCACGTTTGTAAATGTGAGTATAGCTATAGCTCCACTTTTCACTAACAGCTGAACAAATTTGTCTTGTGGATGCCCTCCTTCCCCCTTAGTCCTTTCTCTCGTCTCATTGTCCCCTTCCCATACGCCTCTGGTGTCCCCCCTCCCCCTCAGGAAGAGCAATCTGCTACCACATTAACCTCCCCTCAGGGCCTTCACGTCTCCTTGCGAGGAAGCGCGGACAAGGCAAAGCTTCCAGCTGAGACAATGTGTCTCAATGGCAGACTTATACTGTGAGGGCAGGGACTGCTGCTGTGTGTGGAGTCCTTCCTGGTGACCCCGAAACCCCATCACCTGGGTGCTGGCCTGACTCAGATGACTGGCCCTGATCTGGATTACAGGGACTCGACTCATCTGTGCACTATCATTATTCGACACAACCCTGTCTCACCTCCCAGCTTCTGCTCGTCACCTCCTCAGCAGCTTCTGTCAGCACCTCAGATCCAGCCAGCGTGCCAGACAGAAGCACAAAACCAGCCTTCTCTCACCAGTTGTTTGTGTTTGCATTCTGTCTTCCATTAAGTGACCAGAGAGGCTAGGAAATATGGTCTTTATCCAGACGTCTGTGTGCCCACCTGCAACCTGAGGAAGGAGGGGAGAGCAAATATCAGGAGCTAGTTCTCAGTGTGTACCACATGATATATCCAGAATGTTCTCATTATTCTAAAGTCCTGCTTTCTTCACATTGCTCACTACTCAAAAGCCTTCAGTGGAGCTCTCATCTCATCAAAGTCCAAATTTAGGCAGCTGAAGTACAGTTTTTCCAGGCTAATCTCCCGTTGTTCGCCAGTTCCAGAGCCTCTTCTCCTCACAATGGTCAGTCTCAGTGTCCCAAATGCTCCTCTGGTTTCCACGCTCACGCCTCGGCTCAGACCACTCTCCGGCCACCATATCCTTCCCCTTTCTGATGATGATACAGCCCTTGCCTCCCTCGAGTTTGAATGAGGCCTCCCCTGGGTGTTTCAGCCAACAGTGCTCTCTCCATCTCCTGAACTTCTGTCACACATTTTATCGTCTTTGTCATTTGCTCCCTTGTGTGCATTTGTGTCTTGATGCCCCAGCTAGACTGTGAGCTCCTTGGGAGCAGGAATGGTATCATATTCGCCCTTGTTCCTCTGTGGGGCTTCACACAGAGCTTTGTAAACACTCCATCAGCCCTTGTTGTGAATGAATGAATGAAGAGATGTGTGGGTGAGTGAGTGTGTGAGTGAGTGAGTGAGTGAGTAAGTGTAGGAGGTGAGGGCAGCATGGCTCGCTTCAACCCCGTTTTTTAGGCTTGGTGCCCATGGCTTTCTTTTCTTTTCCCCTTTATCAGGTGGCTCGACTCTTTCATTTTGTCTCCTCTTTGGACCTCAGAGAAGGGCAGGTAACCCCGTTGAGAGGCGTGACTAACTCCAAACTGATCCAGTCGGGTAGAGAGGCCAGCAGCCCCCTCTGCCCACCAGCACATGGTCTGGATCCAAGCCAGGTGTCTCTCCTACCAACACCTGTGTGTGTACGTGTGTGTTAATCCCAGAGCCACTTCGTGTCCTTCTAGAGCCTTTTATTGTGTTAATTTGGTAGCGTCTAACATGTGATTAACTTATTTGGGTTTTTTTCTTTGTTTGCTTAACGCCTGGAGAATGAATTGGATTTGATAATTGATGCTATCGTGGGAGAAATTCTGTCTCTTTCTCTCTTTCTCTTTTGTTTGTTAGTCCATTTTATGTCACAAAAAAAGCCCCCCATCTTTCTCCAGCATGTTGATAAGGAGCCTGCTTGGCATTGATATGGAGCATGTGTAGCTGTAGAGGTTAACTCCATCAGTGAGGTGGGTACCCCTTTAGAGGGAAGTACTAACTCTTTTTGAATTACCAGTGGGCAATGTGGTTACACTGGTGGCTCTGTTATCAATTGCCTGACTCACTAAAACCTTTTGTCTTTACTCTCGTTGTCATCAGTCACAGGCGTTAGATATGTATGAGCTGAGATGGGCTAAAATTCCTGCTGTGCTGGAGCCTTCCCCTGTGACTTGGTGTGTCCCTCTGGAAAAGAGGACCTCATCAAGGACTTACAACCAGGCTCAGCTGCTGTGTTGAATCGGGGCTCTATGGACCTTAATGGCAGGCATTCTATTAGTGGTAAATTGTTTCACTGGGAATACCAGATTATTAAAGGTCTAGATTTTCCCAAGAACACACCCATCCCCTCCCCTGACTAAGAAAGACATCAAAACCTACAAAATTTGGTTTGTGTTGGATACATGGCTTTCTTATCCCTTACAAATTGGGAGAAAGATTGGAAATTAAAGATCTCAGATTAATAGAAAATTCAGTGACACAGTTTATCTTTTAAAGTCCAATTTTCTAAGAGTTTTAGCCAGGGGAAAAAAAAAAAAGATTAAAATAACCAGGAATGGATTACCCTCCCTTGCCCAGAAGATACTTCTGCAGAATTCTGGGGTTCTAGGAGCACAGCTGAAAGAACCCTTTGGCCACGTTTTGTTGACATGCCCAGAGGGCCACAAGGTGAGTCTGTGAAAATAAACAGCAAATAAACAAGTAACAACAACAAAACTGGGTAGACCATGCTTATAACACTGTGGGGGATAAAGAGGTCAAGAGTAAGACAGAATTTAAGTAGGGGAATCATTTTCATGGAAGGCCGAGTATGTCTCCCTTTCCAGTCCCACGATGCTAAGCTGTAGAGAGGTTCTTCCAGGGGTGGGATGCTGAGGACAGTGCTGACATGTGGGGTGAGAGCCCCGGGGGCAGGTGCTCACATGTACCTGAAATAAGCTGACCTTGGTTCACAAAAGGACCCCAGAATTCTTAGCTTTTCCTATGGCTCATATTCTAAACTCAGTGTTGGCTCGTGAGGAAATTGATACAGGACTTTAAAAAAACACACACACATGGGCTGGAATTTATTCACCCTTCATCTGAGTTGCCTAGAGAGGCCCAACATTTATTCTAGAGATTTAAATCATACTAGAAACTCTTATTTTGGATGCAATTAGAGCCAGATAGTGAGCCATAGAGGAGGGTCTTGAACTCAGAATTTTCCAGTTGGAAGGGAATCTTGTTCAACCCTTTAATTTCCCAATGAGGTTGCAAGGCTGAGAAAGACCACGTTGACTTGGTCAAGGCCCCCTGTACCAGAGTTGAGACTAAGCTCTCGGAGTTGGAGAGCGAATATAATGCAGTTTCTGGAGACACCACTTCTTCCTTCTCTGTTCTTGTTTTTTTTTTAATAGTTACTTCTTTCTTCTCTATTCTTGCTTATTTTTTTTAAATAGTTCTACTTTTTTTTTTTTTTTTTGGTGTGGATGGCATTTTTCAACATCATGAAAGCCCTCTATTTACAAAATGGGGTCCTCAGTTACCTTGGGAGAGTGCTATGGCTGTTACTAAAAATGAAATCCTAATGATTTCTTAAAAGTAATACGCGTTCATGGTACAAAATTCTAAAAGTACAAAAGAGGGCATTCGGTAAAGAGTAACTTTCACTCCTGCCCCTGCCCTCCACTGGCATAGTTACTTTAAAAAAAACTCTGTAACCTTTCAGCAGGAACTTTCACAAATGCATTCATTTGGCCATTAACACAGTATAACTGGACCCCTGTCTCCTTAGTAGAAAAAGCTAGAAAGACCTCATCTGGGGTGGAATGAAGTGGCAGTGATGACAGATACTAAGAAATATACTTCTCTTTCCACCCAGTCCCCATCTTCACCCACCCAAGTCCTCCAAGGCCAGGTCAAGTGTGGTCTCCTCGGGGACACCTCAGACTGTCCCCTCAGACAGGCCTCTCAGATCTGTGCCCTCTGACCTTTGCACCCTGCAGCACTCTGGCATCTCTCATATACTACTTGTGGACAGAGCCCAAGTCCCTGTTCCACAAGATGCTCCTTCAGGTTGGGGACCCTGGCTGATGCATTGGGGTGGGGCATGGGGATTTCCCGCAGCCACACTTTACTCAGAGGATTGCTCAATAAACGGTCATACGTTCATTCATTCAACTCCTTGACCTCTAATGCAATCAGGTAGAGTGGCAGATGCCAAGGCTGCAATAGTAAATAATCTGGAGGGAGGGCAAACTAACAAACAATGCCAATAGTTAAATATAATTGTATGGAGTACAAGAAAGAAGTACAGACTGCTCTGAGAGCACGTGATGCGGAGCCCAGATGGTTAGAGAAAGCTTCTCTGAAAAGTGCAGCCATATTGCGCTGAATCTAAAATGCTGTGGTTTCTAAGACGTCGTTATCTTATGTACCACTAAGGAAGAAAATATTGTCAATTAAATTAGGACATAATGCTTTTTCACCAGACTTTTCTACTTCTGCCTATTAAAAAGACTCTTTTAGGCTTGTTCAGACATAGATTTTTTTGTGTGTCACTTTTGTACATATTTAAAAGGAACAGGTAAGCACAATGAATTGATTGAGGTCTTCCTAACCTCACTCCTTCACTCTCAGACTCTTCTGAAGAGTCTGAGTCTTCTGAGTCACTTTTTAGCTCAGCTCACCAGGATCCACTTATGACCCTGCCGCATCACTCTCTACCTCCCAGAGCAGTAGGGATGCGGAGCTTTTGTCTCTGGGATTTTTATCCATGCTGCTGATACCCGTTATGCCAGTTCAGATGCTGCTGCTTTCTCGACCTTACCAGAAGTTGTCAGTGGAATGTGTTTTGGACAACACGTTGGACTCATATTCCTTCCTCAAGTGCTTCTTAAGTGGTTTGTCAATTGAACACTCAGGGGTTTCAGCTGTCCAGTCATGCCTTGGGGAGTAACAACCAAGTGTATTCGTGTGTGTGCAGTGACCATGATGTCCAGGCAACAACAATTGTAAGACCCACTCCAATTTCAAAGATGAAAAAATATATGTCTTGGAATTGATGAAAATAATTTGCAAGAAGTCTAGAAGTAAGTGGGTGCTGTTATTGTTCCAGTGACTTAGTGATGTCAAGGCTCTGAGTGGATGTCTCTGTTGAGTCTCCTAGTCACAAGATGGCATTTCCACCACAGTCAAAGGCAGAAAGCCGGGAGCAGGGTCCGGCTTTATTCGTCCTATCAGGAAGAGAAAGTACCTTTCCTAGAAATCCCTTAGCAGATTTCCCCTTACATCCCATTGGCCAGAATTATATCACATGGCCATCCACAGCTACAAGGGAGGTTGGGAAATCTATTTTTTCTCATCATTTCAAGAACTGAGTTTGAGAATGACTTTTGGATGGTCAAGTAAACAGTATATCCCACTGTGGTCAAATATGTTTGGGATACAGTGAGTGAGACACTGTAGGACTTCTCAAAGCTTTTAATATGGTAACCGTGGCCCATTGAATTATGGAGAATATGGTATTAAGCTTTTCCAAAGTTAGGGAATCCAATTTACTTTCCCAAAATAGAGAACCCAATTTTGCAGAATACCAGTGAACAACTCTTGGTTATTCCCAGAATAACAACATGAAGGTTCTCCAGAGCAGGGCCAAATTGGCAGGGTGGAATGGGGCTGGCAGGTGAATGGAAATGAGGTTTTGAGTAGACACTGAGCAGGGCTGAGAGGTTTACAAGTGAGAGAGCCGTATTGATTTTCACCATCTCAGATTGTTGTGACGGGTACGGCCTAATTTGTTTTCAAGAGTCTTGCATCCATGCCGCTGTGATTTCCTCTGAGTCAGGACTAGGTTGATAGGGAGCTATTATTATCTCCTTCTCTTTCCTAACCTCTGCCACTTCCAGGCTTCATGACGCTCGTGCTGTGGGAGCGAGGCTGGCTGGCTTCTGGGAGTGGAATTGAGTGCTTTGCTAAAATGGACATGTATGATTCCTGCTGCTGCTTTCTCTCAGATGCACAGCTGAGCGTTTGTAAGAGCTGGAGACACGTTGATGGAGTTAGGCCACACAGCTGGCCTGACCGTTTATTTGGGCTTGGGATCATGAAGCCCCTACTAGTCCTTTTGGCTAGAAGTGATCTTTCTGTTTTTTATTTCAACGGTAACTTGTGTGTCTCAAGCAGCGCAGTAACATCGTCATTATAGTTGACATTTTTTGAATACTTACTGTGCACTGGGCTTTGTAACGGATATTTTATGAGCTTAATCTCATTTGATCCTCACCACCATCCTGCCATGTGGATGCTAGTCTGCAAATGCAAACAGTGAGATGGACAAGGGTTAAGTGATCCAGCTCTTAGGGATATGACTGGAATCTGAATCCACGTCTGACTCTAGAACTGTGGTTCTTAATCTTCACTTTCTATAGCTTCTGGTATGGCACTTCTGCGTGGTTATTTGTACCGTTGTCTCTTTACATTTGTCAGAGTTCAAGCTGTATTTTTGGTATTTCCTAATAACAGCAGCATGATGTCTTGCCCTTAGAAAGTCCTTGATAAGTAGTTGTTGAAGAGATAAATGAATAAATGGGAGGATTAATGAAAGAGAAAACAGTGAATGGTTTTCCCGAATGTTAACCTAACATTGAATTATTCCATTATAATTATCAGAGTATTTCAGAATCAGTTTTTCTTAGAAATTAGTCATCTAATTTCTTCTAAATTCTAGATATCATCTAAAATGTTTCTGAGTAAAATAATCATGGATCATTGGCTGATAGATTTGGGGGGAATTACACTGGGTGGCAGGTCCCACTCTCCTGTTCTTGGCAAAGACCACCCAACTGCTATTGTCTACAAGGTGAGGCCTCGGGCCCCGTGCCCACCCTCATTCCAGAGCAGTGTCTGAGGCAACCATGGTGATTTCTGTCTTTTTTTGTGTAATGTCCTACAAACACCCCTGTGCCTGGATTTATAATTCTAATTGTACATATTTGACTCTTTAAATAGTTTTCTTTTTGTTGCTGTTAGTTTCCTGGAGACATACCTTTTATATCTTTGGTAGGTTGAGAACTTATCTTTTTCATATTTTAATGCATCTTTGTTTTATGCTGACATTTCTTCTAAACCTGTCTGCAAGCTCCTTTGTTTTCCCCCTTCCTGCTGACGAACTCATTCTGCATTTGCTCCTTTAGAGGCTCCTTCATGAACTAAAGTCACTTCAGTGAATTGCTGTGCTTTGGTGGCTCATTTTCATTACAATTTTTTTAATTAAGTAAAATGAAAGAAAATCCCCCAATCCCTGCGGCCATCCCTGAAAACCTCTTACTAAGCTGTTGTGGCCCCTGTTTGTGTCACCGATCCCACCCCCAGCCCAGAGCTCTCTGGTTAGCTGTTCTCCTTTATTTTGTGCTGATTTGTGGGTTCTGTTATGTCTGTTGTGCCTTATTGTCCCCAAGTCCTCCAGCCCTCTAGGACCATTCTCCTTCATTATCCAAATAAAACACCTCCTCGCCCCTCCCCTGCTGTCCATCATATATGTGGTCTGTGGTTCACCAGACTGTCGTTGTGTGGCTCATGACTGTATTTCTGAAGATGCCCGAGTTCATCGATTTGCCTGGTGGTCACTTGCCTGTCACCTTTTGCTCAAATCCCAACTCAACTTTCAATAAGCCCAGTCTCCTACCAGCCCCCTCACTGCTCAGGTTGCCCACCCCCAAGTCTCCCTCTGCAGCCCTTGAGGCACCTAACGCAATGCCACCAGCCCTGAGCCTTCATCATGCTTGTTTTCACTCTCTGACACAGATCCTTTCGTAAATAGAATGGATTGATCTTGCTTTTCTAAACAAAAGAGCGATTTCCCGCTGAGATGAATTCTGCAGCTCCCTCAGAATATCAAATGGTTACAGTCAGCAGGGTTGGTTTGGTTGGTTTTTTGAAATATCATTTTTTTCCCTCCTGATTCATTACCTTTTGGGTATTTTATGAAGCTCAAATGCGACAGTGGAAGTAAATGTGCCTCATAAACCGTAACGTGAACAGATAAAGGAAATTGCTGTTGTCATACATTTAGAAAAATACTGTCTCTATTTTATTTCCTTTGAAAAGGGTAAGGACTGAGCACATAGATTATTAGGTTTTGATTTTCTAACCAGATTCTTGTTTCCTGGTAACTGAGAAAAGTGTAGCTGTATAAGGATCTTTGTTTACGTAAAGCCAGAGAAGCAGCAGACAACTCTGAAGAGCAGGAACTGCACACGCCAGTCGTTTCCTTGGCCCCCGGTCTGTCTGAGGCTCTCGCTCCTCATGGGGGCGTCTCAAGGAGAGGAAGGAGCTGGGAGCCCCAGAGGAGGCCCTGGAATATTCTGAGCCTTGACGCTCTCAATGTTTCCAGCAAGTGCACGGTACCTGCCCCTCTGCAGGGTCCTTCCAGGTCTTGATTTCCGCCTTGCTGGCTGTCAGAGCTCCCTCTTGGCCGTTGTTGTGTCTGCCCCCGACTTCTGCCCGTGGTCTGTGGGTCAGGCCTCTGACGTGTGCCCCTCCTGTGTTGTGTCCAGGGACAGGGTGCCTTATCGGAGAGACTCCGGAGCTTCAGCATGCAGGACCTCAGCACCATCAGGGGAGACGGTGCCCCTGCTCCTTCGGGACCCCCACCACCCGGGTCCGGGCGGGCCAGCGGCAAACACGGCCAGCCTAAGATGTCCAGGAGTGCTTCTGAGAGCGCTGGCAGCTCAGGTAGGTGTCGCCTCACTTCCCCTCTTTTCCACCTCATGTAGGCCTCGCTAACCTAGAAGCAACCAGCACAACTGGACCTGGGCCAAGGCAGCTTTCTCTGATTTCTTCTCTGAACCCATACTCCCAGGGCTCACATTCCTCTGACCCACACACTCAAGGCTTACCTGTCTTGAGGATCTGCGTGGCTCCTCCCACCCACCTGGGGTTTATAGCTTTCATGGTCCCTTTTTCCTGCATGACTGTTTCCTGTCCTTTCTCTCACTCTACCTCCCCTCCCATCCCTGAGCCCCCATTCACCACGTACACCCTCAGCCACCACATGCCAAGGGCCACGTCAGCTCTAAGTTCTAATTCCTATGGAGGCCAGGGCTTTACAGAAACTGCACCTCTACCTCTGATGTCTGTCTACTTCCGGTTGTCAAACTCCTGGCATGAGGTTGCCTGTATGGGGATTGACCTGGGTGCTTGTTAAACTTGCAGAGTCCTGGGTCCGTCCCCAGAGGAGTCATAGGTCTGGGGTGAGACCCAGATGTGTGATGCCACTGAGGTGCAGCCACGTTTGGGACCCACTAATGTCTGACCCGTCAGTGGGTTTCAGGCGTATGGAGGGTAAGGGCATGGATTAGGGGGTAGGGAGCTAGCCCAGGACTCACAGTTTCCCAGACCATTCCCTGGGGAGATGACAAGCACATTGAGCACTGCTGCTGCCAGCGAAGAGTTGATGGTGAAGGGGGTGCAGGGCCGGTTCTGGATCACCATCTCTGCCCTCACCCCTGGTGGGAAGTTGAACCTGAGGATGGGAATTGGGCCACTTTTTTGGAATTGGTGGCTGTGACATGTGCCTGGTGGCTGCCCTGCCCTTAAGTGTACAAACAGGGACATCCAGGCCATCTGGACCCTGACTGCAAGCTGTGAGGTGCCGCCTGCAGGAGGCACCTCAGCCCCAAGCCCCAGGGACCCCACCTGACTTTTGAGGGTCTTAGACGTGGATGGGAAAGAAGTAGCCCTGTGGCTGCCCTGAGAAGGATGACTCATGCTCCCTGCCAGGCAAAGGAGGACAGCTCAGAGCCAGGCCTGGTGGCCATCACTTTCCTCTCCTCTCGGGAATACCCCCTTTGACCCCAAGGCCAGGTTTGAAGAATGTGGCTTTTCTGTTGTAGGGGAGATGTTTTAACCCTGGCCGGGTTGGGAAGGTGGAGGCTTGGCTGTGGGAGGGAGTTCCACCTCAGGGAGGGGGTATCTGCTGAGGGAACCCCCCTCAGGGGAACTTAGAATGGAATTGCAAAAGGCCAGGCAGGAAGGGACCTCAGGGATCACTCAGTCTAACTGTCTGATTTTACCAATGAAGAGATGATGGCCCAGGGAAGGGAGCTGTCCCCAGGATCACCTGCTAGTGGCATCTCCTGTGGCCTGGACTCTGGGCCAGTGCCCTCTGTTTGCTCACCACTGAGCATCTGCAGCTTTTGACCTACTGGGCACTGTTCCAGAAATAGGGTTACGAAGTGGAATTAGGTGTCACCTCCACCCTTGGTCAGCTCACTGGCTACCGAGCCGCAGATGAAACCTGTCATTTGGAAGAAAACAAGGCCTCAGTTCTGTGAGGCTCAGAGGGCAGAGTGAGAACGGCTGAGGTGAGGTTCAAGGGGCAGTAGCCACTTACCCCTGTGTGACCTGGGCAGGCTGCTTCCCCCTCCACACCCCAGCTTCCTGATCTGTATACGAGGAACGACAGTACGCGTATGCAGGGCTGTTGTGGGATTCAGATGAAATAATCCATGTAAAAGGCTTAGGATCATGCCTGGCACTCCACGGAGCAGCTGCTGTCAGTGTTCTTCTTCTTTAACTCACCTCCAAAAGCACTTTATAACATGAAAGTGTCCGGGAGAGGAATGAGCTGCCATGTAAGGCAGTGAGACCCCTGACATTGGAAGGGCCCAAACCAAAGCTGAATGATCATGTTCTCAGGCTCTAGGGAGGGATGCCTGCTCTGGCTGGGAAGTGGGCATAGGTGGTCCCATAGTGCCTTTGCCACTGAGATTCTATGTTGTCATTATGGAGGTGAACCAAGTAGAGGGAGTGGGCTCGGAGAGGTCATGCACTGGGTCAAGGCCTCACAGGACTGGAACCCAGGCCTCCTGCCTAGATATCCCCTTGGTGAATTATTCAGAGCAGCCTCAGAAGTGGGAAAGTGAGAAGCTGGTAGGATCTAAAAGGCAATGGGAGGTATCTCCCAGACTTTGAACATCTTCCAGACCAGCGCCAGATGGAAGTGGCTTTGGGATGATTTGTTTTGGTGCTGGCCCTGCTGCCCTCTGTTAGCAGTGACATCCTCTGCTAGGCCCCTGGGAGGCAGTGGGGAGCACTCTGGTCGCAGGCTGAGCAGGTGCAGTTCATGGAGAACCAGAGAGAGAACCCGCTGTGCTGCAACATGAGCCAGTTCTCCTCCCTGCCCGCCCTTGGCCTTGGCACCTGTGGCTTCAGGAGGCAGAGAAGGGAGGTGCTGACCCAGCAGGGACGACAGGCGCTGTATGGCACTTGCCCCAGCTGTTCTGGGGCCTAAAATAAAAATTATCTCAGAAAGAAAAACAGGCAAAAGATGGCCCAGGGCCTGGGCACAGGGCGAAAGCGCCCCGGTCAGAGGCCCTGGGGGTGTCATAACCCCTGAATTGAGGGTGAGGGTGTCTTGGAGGAAGTCTGGTAAAGGAGGCCCAGCCACACAGGGCTGGTGTGCCTTCCCAACCCCCACTGTGGGCCTCGGACACCAGGTGTGGGGGCGTAAGAGAAAGGGCCTCTGGCTTCCATCCGGGCTGGGTGGCACTGGGCCTGTGCAGAGACAGCAAGGCAGACATCACAGAGCAGTCACCACGCTTGTTGGCACAGGGCCTAGATTCAGCCTCAGAACCTTCTCAGAATGATTGCCCAGACGGCCGCTGACCAGAGGATTTGACCTTGGCACAGGAGAAAAGCCCAATTCCCTTCAGCTTCCTCCTCTGGGAAAAAGGCACAGTAATCTCTATTCAGCCTACCTCTTAGGGTTCTGAGGAGAGCAAACAAGATAATTTGCAAACCCTGGACAGATGGCAGGAGTTGAAGGCAACCTGGGAGAGGACGGGTAAGAGGTGGAATTAGGTGCAGCCAGCGGAAGTAGCAGTTTCAGTGTAGGTCGGGGCAGATCTTGAATACATGATGCCTAGAGAAAAAAGTACAAAATAGAAGGAGATATTATGTAACAAGTTATGTAAAATAAAAATATATGCCCATTGTGCAAACTATCAATATGGAGTTTTCCTCCCTGCAGAAGGAACTGGGAGGCATTTTGTCAGACACTATCCAGTGAAAGCCTGGCATTGGACCCTAGAAGGGGTGCAAAGGGAGTTGGAAGAATGATCCTTGCCGTGTGTGGATGTGGAGACACTCAGCTCGTATTGAGTGAGCACCTCCTGTGTACCAAGGCCTGGATGTGCACCGAGACCAATGGAATGTGCAAGGCAGCAGCCAGTTAGGCCTTCCACCAAATGGTCAGACACTAAGCCCTTCAGAGGGCCTGCTGAACTGGAGGGCGTAAAGAGCAGGGCATCTGAACAAGTGTGGTTGGAATTATTTCCTAGAGGAAACTTTGACCCCATCCCCTGCATTCCCCAGGGCTGCAGGATATAAGGACTGACCTCTGTGGGCCAGCCAAGGACATTTTCTAGCACCTGAGAGGAAGCTGAATCTGGAATGATCCCCTCTCCCACCTTGGTGTCTCTACAGAGACCCACATTTCTGGGACCCCTATATTGAACACACTGGGATCCCACACCTCACTGGGGCCTCCCTGTTTGCCTGGGGCTCATTCCTGTCTAGTGGGGGATATCACTGATGTGCCCCCCATCCCCACAGTATGTACCTGCTGCTCCACCTGCAGGACCTGGAAAGGTGAGTAAGCAGCCAGCCTCTGCAGTGTGCTGGACTCTGGCCTCAGGAGGAGGTTCTAACCATGAGCTGGCATCTGACCCTGGGGCTCCCTTTCAGCTGCATGGTCTAGGGGGAGGGGTCAGGAGGTTAAGTGCTTAAAACAACAACGTGTATTCTCTTAAAGTGTCTGCAGGTTAGAAATTTGGGAGCAGCTCAACCAAGTAGTTCTGGCTCAGGGTCTCTCAAGAGTTGTAGTCAACATGTCGGCCAGAGCTGCAGTCATCTGAAGGCTTGACTGAGCTGGAGGATGCAGATGGCTCTTTTGTGTCTGTTGGCTGGAGGCCTTAGTCCCTACCATATGGGCCTCTCCAGGGCTGCTTGAGCCTCCTTACAACATGGCAGCTGACTTCGCCCAGAGTGACTGGTCTAAGAGAGAGAGGGCAAGTGGGAAGCCGCAGTACCTTTTAGGACCTAGTCTTTAAAGTCACACACCACCACTTCTGCCTCATTTTGTTTGTTGGGAGTGAGTCATTAAGTCCAGCCCACACTCAAGGAGAAGGGAATTATTCTCCACCTCTTGAAGGGAGGAGTGTCAAAGAATGTATGGAGGTATTTTAAAACCACCACTGGGTCGGATTTCCTTGTGCTCTGGGTGATGACACAGGAACTTACCCAGGTCCTCTCAAGTGACAAAGCCCTGCAGTTCCAGGGGGTTTGGTCCTGGTGCAGCCAAGGGAGCCCTGGTCCTGCTTTGCCACTTACTTACTAGCTGTGTAACTGTGCGTGGGTCCCTAACCACTCAGAGCCTTGGTTTCCTCATCTTAAAATAGAGATAAAGGTCCCTTGCTTCCCCACCTCACTGCACTGTTATGAAAATGGCTATGAAAGGGCTTTTAGCAGGATGAAGGTGGTGATGATGACTATGCCTGGAGCAGCCAGGAAAACTTAGGGAGAGGGGATGAGCCTGGAGTCTCCCTGTCCTGGACAGTCCCGCAGCTGCCCTCCACGTGTGTGAAGGACGGCTTGGTGGAGCTGTGGCCACCCCGCGGTGGGCCATATTGTTCTCTCCTGACCTGCTCCTCTAACTTTCACTGGACACCTGAGAGACTAGAGAATAAGGTGCCAGACTAACGCAGCTCCCCTTTCACCCCCATGGAGGGACTGCCTTTGGCTTAGAAGGCGACAGGGGCCGCCCGTGGCCCGCAGCTGCTGGCTGGCGTGACGGAAGAAGGAGGGGACACGTGGTGCCCTTTATTGCCTGTGCTGCCAGCGCTGGTGCCACTGAGGCACGGCAGGTCCCTCCACATCTGTGGAGAGCAGGAGGACATGATGCTGCATGATAAGAAGTTTTCTGTTTTCCTTCCGTTTCTTAATTTTTAAGGCTTCTCAGTGCTAAGCTTTTTTAAGGTCTGTAGAAGACCTGGGGGTGTTGGAGGCCGTAAGCCCAGTGTGAACTGACAGTCATAGGAGCCCTAAGCAGGGGACACTGGGGACCAGCATCCCACCCTGGCTCTGATTCTAACCAGCTGTGTATCCCTTGGGGCATCCTGGTCCACATCAGAAATGGAAAGGCATATGTATATATCAAAACATAATGTTGTACACCTAAAACTAATAGTGTTATATGTCGATTATATCTCAATAAAAAGAAAGAAAGAAACTGAGGGACTGCAGCCTGCACGCAGCTGTTTCCAGCGCTGGAGGCTAACACTGGGGCATGGTGGACGAACTGGTTCCTGGGAAACAACCACCAGTCCCAGTGGCCTCAGGCGACTGTGGTTATTTCTATCTATTCACCCTTTAAAGTTCTGAGTTTGTAAATTCCATGAGCCATTAGGAAAGCTTTTAATTCTGAGATATTGTCACTTGGGGGACCAGGGAGTGTAAAGCTGCCCTCTCCTTCATTCTTTCCTCTTGGGTTGCTCTGTGCCGCTCTCTGGGAAGCCCTTACCTCCTGAGACACCTGGTGGTTTCGTAATCAGAGGCTGCATTGCCAGTGCATTTACATATAACTGCAGTTGATTGTAGGAAATTTTGTTCTCCCTGGAGCTGTGGGCCTGGGGGTTGTTGGGGAGTGAGTAGCAGGCAGGCCTCGGTGGGGACCTCAGGCTGGGGTGGCCCTGCTCAGAATCATGATCTGGGGGCCTTTGCCCCAGCCCTCTCTTTCTAGGACCCTCTTAATACCTGGGGCCCTGGAATTCCCACTCACCGCCCCAGGTCTGCTTGCAAGGAACCAGCTGACAATTCAGTCTACCCCATTTCCTTCTGTGTCGCTGGGGAAGTCCCTCCACGTGAGGCCTCAGTCCCCTCCTCTGTAGCATGGTGGGATTGAGCTAGGTGCCCCTGGGGCCCTGCCCACTCTGTCCATCCCTGCCAGGGAAGGGTTCTGGGTTGGGAAGTGTCCATACATGGTGTTGGGGGAGGTTTGTCTCACGCCCGGGGCTGGAGGCCAGCTCTCCGGCAGCGATGCCGTGAGAGGGGGTTTCAGGGTCACAGATGTTTTGGTCAGAGGGACCCTCCTGGTCCCCTGAAGTGATTTTCATCTGCATCACAGATCCCAGGAGAGCATTGTCTCCCCACTTCTGCCCATTCCTGCCCCTCTGTCGCTCTATTCCTTATTGCTTCCTGCATGTCTCTGCCTCTGTTTTTCTGTTATTCTCTTCCTCTCATGCCCACCGCCCTTTCTCCCCTCCTTTCTCCCTACCTCCCCTGACGTAACAAAGAACTGAACTCTGTATTACTGCTTGGAATTAGTCATAGAGGCGGATTTTTTTCCTTTTTTTTGATCAAGTGTGTGGGACATCATTGTAAAAAGCAGCCATCCCTATTTCCACTCTCTATTAAAGGAGAGACAGAGAGAATTGCGTTTTACTTGAGTGTGGCCCCGGGGCAGTGTCTTTCCTCTGACAGCAGGAGCAGCCGTTGGCTCTTAAGAGCACGTGAAGTGCGTGTGCATGTACGTGTGCGTGTGCACGCATCTTTGCACGTGTGTGTGAATTTCATCTCAAAAGACCCTTCCCTAACAGAATATTCTTTTCTTTCTCCTCGGTGGCTGTCGGGGACGCGGATGTAAGTGTTGCAGATGGGTGTGCTCTTCTTCAGACACGTTTGCCGACTTCCATTAATAGCTCCCACTAATGTGTGCTGTGTGCTATGTGTTTGCTAACCTGGGGGTTGTTCTGCTGCCTGGGGGATGGGGAGGCCTAGGGCTCAGTGCAGACGATCTGCTCAGGCCTTTAAGGGCTGAGTCTCTGCCAGTTTCTCCCTCCCTGCCCTCCCCACAGAGAGAAGAGGAGGGGCCGCTTCCCAGCATGACACGATTATTCATGCTTAATGTCAGCCCAAACCACACACTCATTCCCCTGCAGTGGAAGACAGCAGGACCCCTGCCTCTTCCTAGAGGCCACCCAGCCTTGGGCACCATGGTGGCAGCTCTCTGGGCTCCAGGCCATGGCTGACACCACCTGAGGTTTGGAGGTGGTGGTTGTGGCCATGACTTTGCAAGAGAGACGCTCTTCCTGTACAGGTTGTGTCTGGAGGAATCAGAATATTAAGATGTGGATAGTGATACCTGCTCAGGCCTGTTGCCAGGGGTGAGGACCTATTGAATCACACATTCTAGTTAGATCTCCAGGGAGGAGAGTGCTGAGGAGGTACACTGCTGAATTTTCTGCCCAGCCACTCATCCTCATCTTCATCCTGGTGCCCCTCTTAGTGGGACCATGTTCTGTGGGGTTTATTTCTTCATTTATACTACTCCTTGTTCCAAAAAGGATTTAAGTCCACCTGTGGAATTATAGATGATACATCAAACCAAATTAAGAGAAATGAAGCTGGGGGGAAAGAGAATAGGCAGGTAAGATGGAGTCAGAGGTGAGAAGAAAATGTAAAATGCATGCCATAGAGTTGTACACTGCCAAAGATGCTGGGCTTCCACGCAGCCAGTGCAAAGAGGGAAATGCAGGTAAGAGATTCAGTGTCACAACAAAATAGCCAACCAGAGGTTCAGAGGCCCAGCTTGTCCAGAATGTTTATTCTCATGGGTCCCGAGAGTAAAGCAGAATATTACAAACAACGTTCTTGGCCAAAAACCCTCAGCGAACACAGTGACCAGCAGGATTCTTCTCTTTTTAGTAGGTTCTCTCCATGGCTTCCTTCTAAGGCTACTTCCAGCCCTCTGAGCTGTCCACACTCGCCTCCTTTATTCCCAGCCTCTACTGAGTTGAACACTTGTTTTCCATTCCTGCCTGGATATCTGGGTGCCCCTTGACCCATCACTCCTGGTGGGCCAGAGGGCCATTTCTTTCCTACCCTTTAGGCCCTGCTCAAGCATGCAATGGAGAACAAACTGAAAGCCATTTGGTTTCAGTCCTGAGGTAGTGGTGGTAGTCATTATTATTATTATTCTGGTAATGTGTGAGTTCGTTGCTTGGTCTCAGTGAATCCAGACTGGGTGAGTAGGCTGACTTGTTAGATGCCTGAGGATCTTGTAGTGACACTGGGCTGCCTTCTGAACCCCAGAATGATCAGTACAGGGAAAGCCGTGGACCCAGATTTACAGGAAACTGCTTATACAGAGGCACCGACTCAAACCAGTCCCCAAGCCCGCTCCCAGGATGTGGGGTTTCAGGCTGGGGTGGAGCTGGCCAGGCTGATTCTGCAATTTCTGCCCTGGTCCGAGGGCTTTTGGTCCTGGGCAGGTCTATCTCTTTTTCATCCTATCAGGCAGGAGTTATCTGTGCACAGAAGGAATTTCCTTTTGGATGGGGTTGAGTTCTGATTTGGGGCAAGAGCTGAGCTCTCTGAGATGATGTAAGAATTCCACCTAGATTAGTGGACAAGTGGCCACTGTGTGCTCAGCCCTGCATCAGGTGTTCAGAGGGACTGAGGGAAGATCAGCTGTGCTCCCTTAAGCTTGGGATGCTTTCTCTTGGGCTGAGACAATGAGACTGAGAGGAGAACCAGGGCACACAGCACAAGCTATGTGGTACAGATTCCAAGCGCAGGTGGGGTCACCAAGTGGGGGCCCATCAAGAGCCAGAGTATTCAGGGAGAGCTCCTTGGAGTTGCTGGTCCTCATGTTCAACAGAGGCCTAAGGGTGCAGCTGATTCAGGCAGGGGAAGGGACCGGAGGACAATCTAAACCCGAGTGAACAGGCTGGGGGATGCACACAGCAAAAAGATCAAAGATGATCTCCGACTTGGCCCTTCTGAGCAGGTCACTCCCGGCCTACAATTCAGCTTTGAAATTCTTGGTTAAGACAACTATGCTCTTGTGCTGCCTCCTGCTGGCCGTTGAGGGGCACAGCAGCAATAACTGGGAAAGCTGCTCAAGATCGGGTTCCGTTGTTAGTTTTACTCAACCCGCAGCGGGTGCTGTTATAGTCTAGCGAGTCCCCTTTGATGGCGGGAACTCATTTGATGGCTGAACATGTTTTTAGGGGCAGTAGAAAGATGAAAGAGCTCTGGTTTCTATCTGCAGGCCTCAGGGTGGTTGGACCAGATGGTCTGAGGGCCCTGTAGCTTTGTCTTCTGTGATTCTAGGTGAAAACAACGTATGAAGCATGGAAAGATGTATCTATTGGTGTCAGATAAGCCAGGTACAGGCAGGAAATATTTTATATCTCAACTAAGATAGGACCACCTGGCCGGATGACATGGAATATGCTCAGCATTTGAACACTTAAAAAATACTGTGCATTCAATGACATGAACTGATCCTGGAGCTTTTCCTGGGGATTTAATCAAGGCAGGCTAAAAGAGGAAACTTGCTGTCATTTTTGAGGGGAAGATGACTACTAGATTCTCCTCCCACTAGGTTCCTTTGCTTCTCTGGGACTCCGCCTTTGAAATGAAAAATCTGCATAGCTTTGCTGAAGGTTCTCTCTGAAGGCTTCCTGGCATTTTGCATCCTGGTTCTTAAAGAATGCTTGGAGCTGAATACACAAGTGTAATGCACTGCCAACGGTGCTTGTGTGTATAACAGAAAACTGTGCTGTTCCCTCCCTTGAAATCACTGCCACCGTCCTTTCTAGAGGAGATTGTTTCCCCGAGCATTCTTCTTGTGTGGCGTCACAGGTCTAAGCTGCAGGGTTTGACACATCTCAGTTAAGGCAGCGCCTTTCTTCTCCCAGGGGAACGGTGCCCCATCTCCCTTGGTAGCTTATCAGTAGATTCTGAAGCCTGTTCCTGTGCACAGTGCCTGACCAGTCTCACAGTTGCCCCCTCACAACCCTAGATCCCCCTGCAGTAACCCCAGAGGATGCTGGCTTCAGACACAGGGGCCTCGGCTGTCCTAACAGGCCTGGCTTGTCGTGCTGTGCGCCTAACCGTGCCCTTGCCTGCCTTCCTCGCTCCTTTCTACGCTGATCCCTCCTCGCTGTACTTTGTCTCCTCTGTGTAGATTGTAAATGGACATTAAGTGGTTGAGGGAGATGTGAATGAGGGTGGTGTGAAGGCATGGGAGCCTCACCAGGTCCAAAACCCATTGGCGTTTTCTGACGAGGAGGAGGAGGAGGAGGACCTGCTGGATTTCATGTACAAGTATAAGGCGCCTCGAAAGACGGAGATCCCCCTGGAGGTACACGGTGTCTGGGGCTGTGGGTTGGAGCATGTGTTTGCACAAGGGCTTTGCCCTGGAGATCTGGGGGTCCTGGGACCTGCAGCTCTTGAGGTGCCCAGCATCTCCCGAGTGCCTGGGGTGGGAAGATCTCCCTCCCGCTAGGCACCATCTAGCTATTTGGCAAGGGGCAAAGAAGACCCTACTAATTTTACTTAGAAATAGGTCTCAAAATAAAAGTTAACAACTGCTAACCTGGGATGTGTGAGTGAAAAGCAACCCAAGTGAGTGTTTTTTGGAAGCAAAATTCAGAATCTGTTATTTGACAAGTTTTTGTAAGTAAAGCTTGTTCATTATTGTATCTCCAAGACACAGCATGGTACCTGGTTCAAAGCAGGTATTCAGAAAATGTTCTTAAAGGGGCACAGCCCTTTAAAAGGACCAAAACAATACACTTGGTATATGTACTATTGCCAGTTGTAGATGTGGATGGAGTTTTGGCAGCAGGAGGGCCAAGCCTAGAGCCTTGCGGGCTGTGCTCTGTGACCTGGGTGAGGAGTCACAAGCGTTGGGCTCAGGTGTAGGGCCAGCAGAATTGGAGGCCCCCTCATGTCACCTCTCCTATTCCCCATCTGCTGAATACTTCATCCTGAGAATCCATCTGAAACAAGTTGGGAGTCCCTCTGTCCACAGAGTAGAGACCCCGTGAGACTCAGGTGAGGAAATGCATTGAAAGGTTTCCCTGCTGAAACACAATGGCCTGTGGCCCCAGTCATGCTGGTACTGAAGTTATTACCACTGCAGTATGCGTGAGTTCAGCAGATTCCTCCCCAAGGTGGGACACACGTGGGTTGATTTTGAAGTTCGAGGTTTTGATTCGAGATGTTCCGGGTTTGGACACTGCTCAAGGAGTCCATTATGGCCTGGGCAGCCCTGTGATGGGGAGAGGGGCCCAAAATATCCCAGGGCCTGAAGGTTTGTGCCAAAAGCATCCTAGGGCCTGAGGGTTTGTGCCAGTTTTGTTTTTTTTAAAAGATGCATAACCTGCCTTCCTGTTTACTGTTAAGCAGCCTGAGGCAGTTTACTAAAATATGGGCTTCACCAATTCTTCTTTTACTCTATGTCCAGAGGTGGCTGGTAGACATTGCCTAGTCATAAAGGTGTATCGTGAGGACTCAAGATGTGGAGGCCTGAGCCTTCTGTTCCCTGCTTCGTTCCCTCCCCCTCCCTTCTGTGTGCCTGCTGGGCACTGAGCTACCCTCTGTGAAATGGTGGTGAACAGGGACCTGGCCTCAGGAAGCTCATAGTGTGGTGGGGGAGACAGTGAGTTAGCACACTCTGCTTGGGTACAAAATCTTCTGATATCCTCTCATGTGCAAAACACTATGAAAACAAAGGAGGTGACAATCCTGGTTGTGTGAGGTTGGGCCATGGGGCTGGGGGCCTAGGAGTGACTTTGGAGCTAGGTCCTAAAGAGGACTAGAAATAGCAAGGCAGAGAAGGGAAGAAGGAAAGGCTTCCAGTCAGAAGGAACAGAGGTGTGAAAGGCAGTATAGAAAAAGAAGTTGAGTTCAGAGAGGTAGACAGAGACGGGATGAGGATAGGTTGGACCCAGCTGTGTGAACCCCCTTGACTACTATGCTAGGAGAAAACATTGTCCTTCTTTCATGGTAGTAGTAACTCCTGCTGTGATGTGTGGGTACCATGGAAGGAGGGGTCCCTTGATAGTCATTTGCAGGGGAGATGAGGTGCAACCCTCTATACTTAAGGACAGTGTTTCCCTTTGTTGAGTGGTTTTCCGTGCATTAAAGGGTTTCATATCCAGAAAGAGGACTGGAAATTTGGTGATGGAAATTTTAAGCAGGTGCCAAGAAACATCAGGCCGGTTACCAAAGGAAACAACAAAGACCGGGGAAGAGATGGGGGACACTTTTCTCTGCTGAGTCACTTGTTAAGATCATTTTGTTCCCAAGGCAGAAAGAAGATGTGTCATCCTTCGGCACAACCATTTGCTTGGGAGATCCAGGGACTTAGGAGAGCATGAAGAAGGGGCAGGCAGTGGCCTTCTCAGTTGGCTCAGCTTCACAGAGATGCTTGGGATGGGACTCTGACTCCTGTTGTGGAAACCCAGAGTGAGCCCCCAGCCCCAGCCAGCTGACTCTCACACACGTGCATTTGGCCAAAGGAGCTGGAGGTTCTCAACACAAACCCATCTAGGTGCTATCCTCAAAAGATTCTATGTTTATGCCAAATTGAGGGATGCCTTTTTCTGTTTTTTTCTACCAGGCACCGCCTAGAATCCTTCGATCTCGCTTCAGGAAGAAAAGTACCTCATCCTTGACCACTGAAACCACGTGAGTGAGATGAGCCAACAGCAACGGATCCACAGAATGTTTCTTCTCTGCCTTAAAGAGCTACGCACTAATAACATAGAAATCCACACGCTGGTGTGCTTTGAGTGTGCAGCCTCACAGACACGGCCTTTTCTCTCTCCCCTCTTCCACTTCTTTTTTTTTCCCTTTTCTTTTCTTTCTTTGGTGGGGAGAGGCTAAAGGGAAAGGTGGTGTGTGTGGGGGGTGATCTTTAAGTCTTCTGAGGTTAGTAATTTTCCCCAGTTGGGTTATAATTAGACAGCAGTGTGTTTCTAGAACTACAAGAAGATCCCCCCAACACTGCTGAGATGTACATTTGTAATTTATTTGTTGCATACTTTGTTTTTAGTCCTGTAAATGCAAACAAAGCAATTTTTTAAAACTTTTTTGTTCTTGGTACTAATACTTTGGACTACGATGTACATACTTATGGCTTTTGGCTTAATATAATGGACTCGTAAGGGCTGCCAGAGGTTCTGATTTGTGAGAAAACTGCAAAAACAGAAGTGTAAAAAATTTTTTGACTCTAGAGAATGTCTCAGATTTGCTTGTAGAGATTCCAAATACAACTCCAGTAAAACATCCCTTTTCCTGCAGGACGATGGTCCATGTTCTTGACAGTTGTTTCATCAGTAGACCAGAGAAGTTTAGAATGAAGAGAGACGGGATTGTAGTGACAGATGAGTGTAATGAGGTCTGGGGAACAGCCTAGAATAAGAGAAGAGTCACGGAAAGCTTGTCTCTCCCTTGGACTCAGGATCAGAGCCTCCGAATCCTTTAGGGGGATTTACTATTGCCTAAGGCAGGTGGCTCACCTTTGGGAAAACTTCTTGGGGGATGTGGACTCAGAACTGTTGTGAGGAACCATTTTGAGTGCTGCAGAGTGCTTGATGAATGACTCTTTCTCCTTCAGAGTACCCAGTGCTGTGACTCCTCCACGTAGAGGAGCCTACAACCTGAGCACTTTGTTTTAGAGAACACTAAGCAAAAGCCAACCAGCCAACCACAACAAAATCAAACCTAGGACTGTGCTTTGTCTCAGATACCCTATGAAATACACCTGACACCTGTGTAACAATCAGAATGCTGGGTTCTAGAAAGGCTTCAGAGGTTGAGATCTTTACGGATCCGACTTGCTGCTCAGCAACATGGGCGGCTGTGGCTCACGCCCTCCTGTCCCCTTCTTGGCTTGTGCAGATCATGAACAAGAGAGAAGCCGCAAGCTCATGGGCACTCCATGTCTTAACAGACATTTTATACAAGCCCAGATCGCTTAGTAGGAGAATAAAGCACTATCTGAGGAGACTCCCTGCTTAGACTGAGAATTTTATCTGAAAAGACGAATCTGGTTTAAATAGCATTTGGGTCTGAGGCAGCTGCTCTCCCCTTGGAGAGCTGAGCTTAAATGGAGGACTCGTGTATTTGTGCTTAGAGATGGTGTTTTCTTCAGTGTAATGCATGCAGTGGTCACAACCCAGTTACTTATAATACTTGGACTGTGTTTGTTCATAGATATGCCCTGAAGACTAGAGAGTTAGTGTTATGTACCACGTAGAACTGTCAACCAGCTGTAAACAGGCACAGTTAGACCGTTCCATTACTGAGCTACGCGAACATACACCAGTGGTCTCTGCTGAGACATCAGCTGGATCAGAGCCACTTCAGAAAGGGTTTTTACTTGAAATTGATTCTTACTAGGTATGCATAATTAAATCCCTTCTTCCCACGATTCCTCTGCAGGTGACTTTGTAATTTACAAAAGATTTAGGAAAATACACCTAAAAGCAGATTTGTGGTTCAGAGGGCAAAGAGAGGCTGTCTGTTCATTGTCTGTGCCCCACACCCACTGATACCTACACCCGTTAGGGAAGACAGAAAATCTGTTTGCTTCAAGCTCACTGAATAGTTTCAGAGGAAAAATATACACTTTAAAACATATTTACCTGTTAGTTGGGAGTACCCAGAATTATCAGAAACAAGTGCAGAAAAAGCTTAAGCAGCTTTTTAGCAACTTTTTTTTGCCAAAATAATAAATGCCTTTAGCAGCAGAGATTAAAATCCTATTGTGAACAAGCTATTTTCATCATTTTACAGTGGAAAATCTTAGCAAGTATAGGATATCAAGTTTGCACTCAACTATGCCAAAAACAAGTTTGAAGCACTCTACTCTCAGACATGCTGTATTACTTCTCATTCAAGAGTTAAAATATATAAAGGTATCCAAACTGCTGTCTTAATGTAAATGTAACTATTTTTCCTTCAAGTGTTGACTAGGGAGTTGGTTCCTCTCTTAAAAACACTCACTGTACAACTAGAGCAGCTGTCATATTCCTGGCAAAATGTGTTTACTTATCCAACAAGCTGTATATTTGTGTATGGACTGACATAAAATGTGAATGCCTCAAAGTGTACACATAGTGGTGTGGTGTTCTGTCTAGAGGATATAACTGAATGTTTTTAATTTGCTGATTATAGACACAGGCTGTTTACAAAATGCTAGCTCAAAAGTCTGTGATTTTCATGTAATAACTTTGAGTTATCTGCCATTGAGCACCCGTCTGTCTCTGAGGTGAGATGTCATGTTGTACTTACAAACTGGAGAGTTTGTCCCTCCTGGCTTTGTGTGAATAGCCTGCTCACTTCGCTGGCCTTTGAAATGTGTGTTTTCCATAGTAAACTGTTCGTATGTTTGTGATAATTGTGCTTGTCAACCATACCCACCATTGAGCACCTTCCTAGTTCTTCACCTTGCACAGTATTTGAAATGGTAAAGGATGTGCTTCATTCTCAAACAGCACACACAGAACAGCTGACATCCTAGATTGTGACTGTGTGTACTTCCCTAGTTTATTTCTGTAGTCCCTATAGAACGATCTGTAATAAAATAGTATACTGGACTGTGCATCAAAGGGATGTAAAATTACAGTATTCCAAAGGTTGAAGTTCTGCTGTTTTGTTACAATGCCTGATATATATATCTTGAATAAAGTCTTAACATTTTTCTTTTAAAAAATATCTTTGTAATGTTGGGCTTATGAGGAAAAAGAAAATACTTTTAAAAAATGTGGAAGGTAGCAAGGACTTGAAGCTGAATGCTCATCCACTAACTGGCTTGGTACCTGATGACTTGGCCCCGTGCCTACTGCATAGAAATGTTACAAGGAAAAAAAATTAAATATCAGTGTTTTGAAAACTAGTAGATTACATAAATAAAGACTTGGTAGTATGTTTGTTTTACAAAGGTCACCAGTGGAAACTGGGCAGTTGTGAAAATAGAGTAGTTCATCTGTTAGGCAGTTTAATTCTGCAAACAGATCTTTGGTGCATTGTTTTCCTTCCCGGAACCTGTTTCCTCATCTGCAAATGGGAAGGTATGTGTGCAGGTCCAAAGAGGGTAGTGCACCTGGAGGTGCACTGGGTGGTACGGACACCCTTCACCCCACTGCAGCCCTTGCCTTAAAAATAGGAACAGGCGCACGTAAGCTTCACTGGGTGGTCACAAAGACTTGGAAACTCAAAATTTGAAACATCCAAATGAAACGCTCATTTTCTTTGCCTTTATAGTTCTGCATGTTTGACATGAGGAATGTAAAATAAAGCAGCAGCAGACAGAGCAGCAGATTCAGAGGACGGAAAAGGAGGAGATGGAAAGAAAGGCTGAACAGCCACTCATTCATTCATTTACTGAGCCAAGGCTAACGTCAACAGCACTGAGAGTAACCAGGTTTAAGAGCTGACAAGTAACAGAACAGCAAAGTTCTAAAACTTAAAAGCAGACTTGGTGTGGTGTCCAGAAGTATTTAGCATTTAGAGTGCTCACTTACAGTCACTTGTTGATTTAGATATGAATTTTCATATGCTCTTAGAAGACTCAGAGGAATACACAGGTTTCCAAGGAGCCAGACCTGGGTTCTGTGACTTATTAGCTATATGTTTGTTTAACCTTCTATAAGCCTTCGTTTCCTCAAATCTAAACTAGGGATAAATAATCTCTCCTTTGCAAGGTTGGCATGAGGATTAGCAGTTTTATAGAGACATGCCCATCCCTGTGCTGGACATAGTAGGTGTTCAATAAACTATACTTTTACAGATACTTCAATGTCATTTGGGTAGACCCTTTAATTTAATGAAAGATGTTTTGTTGTCAAGCTATAAAATCAGTGTTGATGATAAGCCCTGCTACCCACAAAACAAAAATCATATAAATGAAAAGTCCCTTCCCCTAACTCGTGTACCCGTCAGCCCGTCTTCCACAGTTCAGCTCTGGATGCCGAGGCCCAGCTGCCCGTCCTTGTCTCTACCTCTCTTGTCCCCGGCCTAGAGGAGAAACCAAGGGGCCCTGAGGCCCCTATAACAGAGACCCTTGTTGTCGATATTTGCACTAGAGAAGGCACGGAGGCGGTGGGAAAGTGTCCTCCTCCTCAGCTTCTCCAGGCACCAGTTCCATCTGCTAGCAGGGCTGAGTGGGAGAGGGCAAGAGCCACGCAGGTGGGAAATGATGTGCAAGCCTAGTAAGTGGTTGGCTTCTGCCATCTCAGAAGTATGAGGAAATGAAAACCCATCAAAACAGAATGCCCTTCCATGCTTCGGGCTCTTACATCTCAAATCAAATGTCTGTGCTTTATTAATTGCTCCCATAAATAGACACACACTTGACCTAGTTTTAGAACACTCATTGTCACCCCTTTTCCTTTTAATGAACACACGCTGGTTTCAAGGAATTCCTCTAACAATCCTAGGCTGACAAACCACAGAATTTCACTTTATCTTGTACCTTATTCTCTTAAGAACAGAGGAACTTCATCTTACCATCAACTATTATATTAAAGGATTTGAAGCAGTACTTGAGGTGTAATTCTATTTAATGATGGTTTTTCAACCAGGCAGAGTGCTCTGCTGTTTGAAAATGCTACCAGAGTCATGTGGGAAGCATTTTCAAACAACAGAGATGACTGGAGGGAGAGCTGAGAACCAGTGCCCTAGACTGTACCCACTCAGCTCCATTTCCCTCAGTGCCTCTTACCTGACCCTCTTCAGGTGAACAGTGCTAAACTAGCATCATTTCTAAAATGATTGAGGTGATTTTCTCCCTTACTTTCTGCAATGTATCTTTGGAAAATTTTGGAAGAAGTTCATCTTCAAAATTAAAAAATATGAAATCTCAAGAGGATAAACGAACTTTTAAAAAATACAGTTATCTTTCAATTCTTGGGTAAAAAGTGTTATTAGTCTTCATTTATACCGCCTCTTCTGTTTCATGAATGGGCGTACTGAAAGGCTATTTTACTTACTCTTCTCTTCATAAAAAATCCTGTTCCAATAAACTAAGTGAGAACTGTTATGAACACAGGAACCTAGTGGAACTAGATGTGTCGCCAGCCCATGCTCGCCCCTAAATGAAACTGCTCACATAACTATGTGTCGTTCTACACAAACCTGCTAACACAACCAAGTGGGCCGGGTGGGCTCCTGACCTAAGAACAGCAATCTCTGTACACTGGTCAGCGACCCCTAATGAGACTTGGTATAAAGAGATAAGCTGGCCCAGTTAGAGGCTCTTGGCAATTAGAGACTGGAGATGGGAGCTGAGGGTCATGATGTAGAAAAGAACCTCAAAGGTGCAAGCTAGAGTTACTAGGAGGCAGCGGAAATCAAGAGTGAGCAAAAGCTGTGAATTAGAGAAGTTGGTGAGGAGAGAGAGAATGGAGCCAGCACTGTAAAAAGAACTGAGTCACATGCACAGCAGACCTAAAGCCTAAAGCCCCAGCATTTCCTGCTGCGGAGGCCCCTGGGGGTGACTTGGATCTAGGATCACCCACAACTTCCGCTCTTCCTGAGGGCTGGGGGTAGTTCTGGGTGGGAGATGGGGGTGGTGAGGTAGTTCCCGAGTCCCCAAGTACGTAACCTTAAAATAATGTCGTACTGCTTGAGTTAACTTGTTAGCAATACAGTCTTTTTATGTCTGTCCTAACTTGAGATTCCTTGCAACTAAATAAGCCTAATTGGAACAACTAGTTAAGCCATTACCATCTGTTAAAAATAATCAGAGGCTGGCCTGCTGGCGTAGTGGTTAAGTTCACATGCTCTGCTTCGCCAGCCTGGGGTTCGTGGGTTTGGATGCTGGGTGCGGACCTACACGCTGCTTATCAAGCCACACTGTGGCAGCATCCCACATACAGAGGAAGGTTGGCACAGATGTTAGCTCAGGACCAGTCTTCCTCACCAAAAAAAGAGGGGGGCTGGCCCCACAGCTAAGTGGTCAAGGCCATGCATTCCGCTTCGGCAGCCCAGGGTTCACCAGTTCAAATCCTGGGCACAGACCTACGCACCACTCATCAAGCCATGCTGTGGTGGCATCCCACATAGAAGAACTAGAATGACCTACAACTAGGATGTACAACTATGTATTGGGGCTTTGGGGAGCAAAAAAAAATTTTTTTAACTTCCATTTCCCTGAACAAATCTGGAAATGTTTAATCCATTAAGTTTTAAAACTTTGGTAAGTTTAATGTTGGTATTATATGTTTCCATATCAGTTGGTACAATTTACGTCAAGTTTTATACTATTTCACTTTTGCAAAGACATCATATACACAAAGATACACATTCAACAACTGGGAAATCATAAAACTTTTGATCTATACTTTCAGGTTTGTCCGATCATGATACTTCTGATAAGGATCATCAGCATACCAGTTTCGCCTCTTCCAGAAGGACGTTGTCATTTTATCTAAGAGCTTACTTTGAGTTTTATTGCAGAACACAAACTCCCTTAAGCGTCTTTTTCTTGCAGTCGTCTTTTTCCATAATTTTTTCTTATAACCAGCCTGTTAGATAATATTAGAAAGACATTTAGAACATTCTATCATATAGGAAACAGATATCGTCATTACTTATGGTTTATAGGTCCAATGGGAACAAAGACCAGACTTTCATGGGAGCTAGTAGGTTTTTCAGAAAGATGTCATTCTCAATGCGGGGTAGATAGAGAAAGATGTGTTGTTTAAAAAAGAAATACTGGGGCTGGCCCAGAGGTGTAGTGGTTAAGTTCGCAGGCTCCACTTTGGCAGCCCAGGATTTGCAGGTTCGGATCCGGGGTGCAGACCTAGCACCCCTTGTCAAACCACACTGTGGCGGCATCCCACATAAAACAGAGGAAAATTGGCACAGAGGTTAGCTCAGCGACAATCTTCCTCAAGCAAAAAGGAAGATTAGCAACAGATGTTAGCTCAGGGCCAATCTTCCTCACGCACACAAAAAGAAATATTAATAATTTCATATTTTGAAAAAAGATTATTTAAATTAAAACCACAGAAAATAAGCTAAATAAATCTTTGTGGCTGGTGAAGTACAGGGTAATGATATATAAGTATAATAGCTAACTTTATATGCATTACTTTATTATCTCTTTGACAACCTTCAACAACAACATATTATTATTCTCATTTTACAGATTAAAGAGAAACAGCCATTGATTAGAGAAGGTAAGTAGCAGAGAACTACTAAGAGAACTAGTAAGAGTTCTTACTAGTCAGAGAACTAGTAAGAGTTCTTAACCACTACACTACTATTTTTCCTAATGTGGAGGAGGATGAAGGGTACACCAGCTAGGTTTGTAACATTTATGTTCATTTAAGGGGTTAAGAGTTACAAGGGCTGAGAAGCACAGTTCTCAAATACATTGCTTCATTTATTCCTTTCACACACTAGGGATCAATTTCTATAGTAAGTAATTTTCTAAGGAATAATGAATACAGTACAATATTATTAGGAGTGGTGAAGGAACGGTTAACCCACATGTCTAACCCAGGACTGCCATATACACCATCCACACATCACTGATTTTGAAGAATTTTTGAAGAAACAGAAAATTAGACTGAATATAGAAACTGTAATCATAGCCTGTTTAAAGTAGAAGAGACCTTAGCTACCACCCAGGTTAATGCCTAGCTAAAACACACAGTATGTTACAGGGGAGGTGAGACTAGAATCCAAGCTATTGAAAGAGCCTTGGGTCCTTTCCAGCCATGGGCTCTTTCGGGCACCACACTAATTGAACAAAACCACAGCTCTCTGCTGAGAAGTGCTTTGGGTTTCTGCCATGCCTTAGTGTCATCACTGTGACCAGCAACTGCTATAGTACAGTGATGCTCAGATATAATGAAAGCTTATCTAAAAGTTCTGGTTTAAAATGCCAGAGACTAGATTTTTACT